GCGAAACCACAGCTCTCGGAGCCGCAATCGCAGCGGGTTTCGCAGTTGGAATCTGGAAGGAGTTTGATGAGCTCAAGGAGATCAATCGTGACGACAGAACTATCTTCGAACCAAAAATCAAGCCAGCAAAGGCTGCCCGTATGTTCAAGAAATGGGGACAAGCAGTTGAGATGAGCAGGGGATGGGTCCTACAAAACGAGGATGAGAACGATGACGACGTTGACTAAATAGCCAATTAAATGAGGCTAGGGGATGGGGACGAGATGGAGATAATGGATAATTCAACTTACGAAGCGGGTAAATATGGGGCGATGAAGATAAAAAGATTTGTGGATATACCCCAGGATGATTGATTGCTTGCATAGATGCACAGAATGTTAGGATTTGGGATTTGGGGCTGGGTGTTTTGGCGCGCGGTTGGAAAACCTTCTTGGTGGTATAGTTTTGAGGCATCTTTTCTAGCGATGGATGGATGGTTTGTTTGTAGCATTATTAGCATATATATGATGACTTGAGCTTGAAGCTTGGTTGATTCTGGATAGGATATAGGAAGAGAAATAATGGGGAGGTTTAACGACATTTACGAATACTGAAAATAAAATTAAAATATAAAAATTCCCATAAAAAAAAGAGTTCCTTGATTGATTTGTTACATTGTGATTGGGAAGCTGAAGCTGAATGTGATATTTCGAACTTCAAATGTATTAGAGCGCGAAGGTGCCATGAGAATCTTACTTTTATGGCGAATGCGCGAGAAAATAAGAAGTGAGAATGAAAGGGAAGGGGATGATTCCTGGGAGTGATATCTCTTCTTAGCAGTCGTGATAAATTCTTAATCCATTCGACCTACCTACCTATCTGAAGCTAAAGCCACGCCGACTATGTGATGCGCCTTCTTGAACGTTCCGTTTTCGTGGAAGCAGATGATGATCTGTTTCCGAATTCTTATATACGAGGGAATAATAGGTAAGACTAATAAGAAGAAGACTGAGTGAGTACGTCAAATCAATATATGATTGGTGAGTTGGGGCATAGTGGGATGGTAAAAGTGAAGCGAGGGGGCAGATCCGGGGGTTGAGTAAGAAACTGCTTAGGTAGATGGGATTCACATTGTGTATGTGTGTATGTGTTTATTCAATCTTTCATTTGTTGAAAGATTCTCGGTATAGTGAGGTTTTCTATCTACTATCTACTATCTACTTAAAATAGTTAACTCTCTCTCTCTCTCTTTAACATCGCATTTGTGCATTTAGTGCAAAGTCAGTGATTCTTGATTCTCGTCCTCATCCTCGTTCATCTAGGTATTATACACTTCTTCTTTGCTCTTCCCTTTCCAATCTTCCATTTCTCTCATATCAGGAGGACCTATCTAGCTCCAATCATCTCTCTTAACTCAACCCCACAACGGCGCCGTAACTTCCACGGCTCTCTCTACCACAGCTCTAACTCTCTCCCCAAAGACCCGATTCGCGCACTCGACATCCAAATCCTCCAACCATACCTTCGCCACCATCTTATCGACCTTGATCTCGATGCCCGGAACGGGGATACCGAGTTTATGGAGACGAGCGAGTTCTTTTTCCAGAGCGTACGTTTCCGAGGATTCGGGCGTCTCGAGGTCCGAGGAGGAATATGGTTTGGTGTCTGAGGAGATGGAGGGGGAAGAAGTGGGGGGTGGAATTCCAGTGGATAGACGGGGAGTGGTGATAGGAACAAGATTGTCGGCGCCGAATTGGGCTTCGAGGAACATGAAGAGGCGTTCGAGACGCTCGGCGGGAGTTAGGTTAGCGTGTAGGTTGCGGGCTGGAGGGGAGTGGGAATGAGAGTGCGGAGATTTGCTTGCAGATTCTAGGGGGTGTTAGTTTTGAAAATGGGTAAGAGGTACAATGTGATTGATGAGGAGAAGAAAAGGAGTAGAGAATGGGGTTGAAGAACATACGTTTAACAGCAGCCGGACTGCTTTCCACCGAATACAACACTGCCATGATGGCATCCGCAATCCCATCATTCAACATGTTTCCCTCCCATTCTAATTCTACTTCTCCATTACTTCTATACCTGACTGTAACACAGCCCATAACTAAATATGCTGTGACGGCATTCGTATTTGCAATCTCCTCGTCGGCTTCTTCGTCGGATGATCCATTCATATGCGTATCCCCGTTTCCATTTTCATTCCCATTTGCATGTTTCTGTTGTCCTCTACTTTCAGGCAACTCATCGATCTTTCCAAATGTTCCCTCTAGAGCCCATCGTATAAGATCAATACCGGCCGCACTAAGTGTCATACGTTGTTTACACGTAATAGTAGTAGTAGTTAATCCAGCGTATTCTCTCAAATCTTCAGGAGCCATTAACGACATTTTGAAATCGTTTTGAACCAGTACACCAGTGATAAGTTGAGCGGAATCAGTAGGTGGAGGATTATTGGCGAGTTTTCCGACGACCTTGGCGGTTTTGGAAGTCATAAACGGAATGCGTAATGGTTCGCAATTCTTGGGGGAGAAGACTTTCACTTTGGTCGTTTTGTCGGCGTTAAGGGAGAGAAGTTTGGATTTTAGACGCATCATGTTGTGTTGTTCGCCGTGGACGAGAATCTATGGTTGTTAAGTCTTTTTTCATTTGAATTGGATTTGGAAGGTAGAAGGAACTTACCACAACAGGAGCAGCGATTTCTTCGATGAATTCCCGGTTCTCGACGCCATCAACGTGCGCTGCAAAGGAGTATTCTTGAACACTACATCTTCTAGGAATCATAGCCTTCTCTGTTTCTCCGGGTGCTGATCTTCGTGTAAAGCCCTGTGGACCAGACATGATTGCTTGGATGTGATCTGGTTCTTGCATGATTTGCTTTGCCATAGTACCTTCAACACTGTAACCAGTAATAATAACACCGTTTTTATCACTTGGTGCCCACCGTTCTAGTAATTGTCTACTGATACCATTCTGTAGCATACCGGGACTTGCTAAAATAACACAACCTCCAACATCGTCAAACCGATCAAGATTCTTTAATGAACGAATATATTTGAAATCCCATGGTCCTCCTCTACCCCCACTAGTTGAGTTGGCTTCGGCTTCGGCCATACGTTCTCTGAAGAGTCGTTTGATATTTTCGTTCATAGAGCCAACGTATGTTTGGTATACTAACATACATTTACGGGCCAAGTTACTAGCATAGTAGATGGGGATCTTTTGAAATTCTGGATGTTTACCCCAGTATTCATCTAGAATCAAAAGAAGTTCTTGAGCTCTACCAAGTGCAAAAACTGGCATGAGAACTCGGCCCCCACGATTCAGGATACTAGTGACAGACTTCATAAGGGCCTGCTCTCGTTCTAATCGAGGAATATGTGATGCAATACCATACGTAGATTCGGTAATTAGAACATCAATTTTCACTCCTTTGGGAACCTCGGCAGAAACAAGATGTCTATCATCTTCCCGAGAATAATCTCCTGTGAAGAATATCTTGAGTCCTGCGATCTCAATAAGGAACATAGCAGCACCAAGTACATGCCCTGCTGGATAAGGTGTGACCCTGATCGAAGAAATTGTATGTGTGGTATGATAATCTATAGCTTCGATTTGAGCAAATGTAGTGAGATGGTCGGCTTCAGTGTATACTGGTTGTGAACCTCCACCTGAGGATGCTCCTCCAACCCTTACACTGTCTATAATGAGCCATTTGTAGATAGCCTTGGTTGGATGTGTCATGAAGACACGTCCTTTGAAATTGGTCTTCGCAAGGACATACGGCAATGAAGCTGCGTGGTCGACGTGAAAACTACAAATGGTCAGCTCGAATACTACTTGGCAAGGCACCAAAATACGCTAACAAAAGTAGTTGCCTATGTACAATTTGAGTCCGCAGCGATTGAGGTTATATCACAGAATCAAGACAAGCATTTGCTGTGGGATAATGATATTGTATTGATTCTCGTATACATGATAAATATGGTAGGTAGATAGGCCAATGAAAGGAAACGGAATTCTGCATGTAAAGATGCATAACCCAGAATTCGAACGCAAAGTCCAAGCTGCCAAAGGCGCATTGTATTGAAACACCGAAACAGAACACCATATACTGACTGCCCCATCCTCCAAAAGCCAACGCGCGTATATAAAATGTAGGAAATAGAATGCGCTTACTGGCTGATCAAAAGTAAATCGACAGTACTCAAATCAAAATCGTCATAGAAAGGTAGAGCTGCTAATCCGTCGTAGCCAGCATGCATACCAGCATCAAGCTATATCGCAAAGTCAGTAAATGGATTGCGCAGATGTTGGAGAGAGAGGCCCTGGGCTTACCATGACAGTTTTGCCCTTGTATTGAATTATATGACAAGATCTTCCGACCTCATTACCACCACCAAGATTCGTAAATGTGAGTTCATCAGCTGGATCTACCGGTTCTTCCACCGTAGGTGCCATAGCTGCAGCCTTACGTTTTGAGGCCATCGTGAATGGAATGTGGTGTGTATTGCTTTCTTTGTCAGTCAGTTTAGTGTTAGTACTACCACTTTGCTGCCTTCAAGGCAGAGAGATATTTGTTCAGCAAAGATATTATAATCAATCAAATTACGAAAGAAATAATTGTAGATGGGCTTATAGATTCATGATAAGTCGGGAAGGAGCTGGGTTGAATCGTGTGGTGAATCAATACAATAATGTAAAAGAGAATGGAGGTCGTCATCAAAGAGACGCGATTTTGGCGTTCCTTGTGAAGGGAAATTTCGCACTAATTCTACACGTGATGAGATCAAAAGCAGATAGCTTTCGCGATTCATTCAATGACCACAGTATTAACGCGGGAAAGAAAACAGCTTAAACGGTCATCAAAACAACGAGTGAATACGGTCGCGCAAGTCTTTAAGTTGTATTCTGAAGATTTATACTAGCGCATGGGTCGGTGTTATAAGAGGTAGCCGGGCTTTGCGCCTGGGTTGTGAAGGATACAGGAGATCAATAGAGGCAATTACAATCAAGCCGTCGACATCATGGCGCAACCACAGCAACAGCAACCACCATACCCTATGCCTCAGAGGCCTTTCTCTCCCCCGCAGCCAGTTAATTCACCTTCAACGCAAACTCAACAACAGTTCGCGTTTCCACCCCACAAGCGACAAAGAATGTCTCCCAATCCGCCTTCTCAACCAGGTTCGCCATATGTCACATCGCCATATGCTGCTTCTGGTCAGAATTCAGCTTCGCCTTCGCCGCATTTCTCGACTGTGCAAATCCCTCAGGGTGCTTATACCACGCCATATTCGAATGGATCGAATGCGCAACCATCTCCGTTGAATCTACCCCAAACTCCGATGGCTCTTCCACCTCATGCGCAACCAAGCCCATTGAGCTTCCCAAATCAAGTTCAGCATCATCATCAAGGAAATATGGCGTCAGCTCATTTCAACAACTTCAATTTGCAGATGCCACAACAGCACCATCCTGGCGGAGTTATGGGCCCACCTTCGAGACCGGTCGATAAAAATAAGGTTGATGGTTTGGATCCATTGGATGTTTTGGGGGGAACTGGTGTTGATCTTGCAGAGGAGGAACAATACACATTTCAGCAGTATTCATCATCATTCAATGCTCAAGGCTCGAAGTCACACCCAGGAAATATTTCGGCAGGTCACAGTTTTACCCAATTTCCACCAGGGAACGAGGGATCTTTTTACGGCTCAGGTCCAGCTAATCAGCCAGGAGAGGCACCAAATGCTAAGTCACAAGAGGATTTTGAAAAGAAAGCTGCGGACAAAGCATGGCATGATGCGGCTCGCGATTTGGCAGTATCAAGGCAAAGAGAATTAAATAATCCGTTTTTAAATGTTGGCCACGTTCACAAAAGAATGGAGAAGATTGCACATGATAATGGTCTCGGTTTGAATACAGATTTAAATGGAAAAATGGGAACCATGAAACTACCTGAACATTTCCCTGACACGACTGTCAAAGTGCAGACTGCAGTGGGACCAGATGGAGCTATCACTGCAACGACAGGAGCCTTCATTCCATCTGATTCTTTACTTGTTGATCAGCTTGCGCTTATGTCTATCTCTACCAAGCATCGACTTCGTGGATTATTAGAGGACGGATTAAAGTTAGCTATCGGTCGACAGACAAGTTCTCATGCCCAAATCAGGGATGAATGGACAGATGTTGCTGTACCAGCGATAAAACCTAGTGTTGCTACTATTGTCAATGAAGGTGGTCCACGGAGTGGATGGGAGAGTGCTGTCAGCCCTCTCTCCAACCCTCTCAAACGTATGTATCATATTTTTCATTATTCTAATTCCGAGCTAACACACCCAAGGCCCTCTCTCAGCTGCAGGTAGATTGCCTACCCCAGTATCAGATAGTGCGAAGGCCCAAACTAAGTCTTTTGCGAATGATGTTGCATTGACACTTCGGAAGTGTGCTACTAAGGAGCAAGAAGCTGAAGAGGCTAGACTACGAAGACGTAAGGCTCGTGAGTCTGGTGATGGATCTCGCGCTGGTTCAATAAATCCGGGCACCCCAGGTTCTATGGCTCCAGATGTTCTTGACAAGCCACCTACCAAGAAAGAAATGAAGAAGAAAGCAGAGGCCAAAACCAGCGAGGCAGCAAGTCACGCAGCAGCCAATGTAACCACTACACAATTTTTGGGTGGTGGAAAAAGTATGTTCGGAAAGAAGAAACAATATAGTTGGATGACTGCTGGAGGATCCAGTAGTGGTACAAGTACGCCAGGTAAAATCATGACCCAAGGTCTTGGCTCTTCTGGTGCAAGCCCAGTTGCGAATCCGGGACCCGAAAAATTGACTACCGATGGAGTGCGAAGGTTAGGCACTTGGCGAGAAGATGGTGGTAAGGGACGGAATATCCAGCTCCGAGATTGGATCATGGTTCTCGAGGATGATGGTAGGGAGAAGAAGGCACTACAAAAAGCATACGCTCAAGTGGATGATGATCGGAATGCGTAAGGGAGAAAGGGAGGAAGAAAGAAATATTGGTTTCATGGATAGGGCAATTGCAGAATAATATTTTTGCATGGCGTTGCATGGATCACCAGGCGTTTTTTTCAGTGTCTCCTCAGAAGGGAGGATGGGCACGCTGCTTCGATCTCATTGGGGATTCTCTGAATGATTTACATTACATACTATATGGCTGTGTGGGGGCGAGAAACTTTGCATACTTCGTCTTACCATTGGGTTTGATTTGTGAATCGAGACTTTTTTGATCCATGGGATGATATTTTTTGACGCAATGCGATAGGTGATTAGGTAGCAACCGAGTATCTCGTATCATTCCAAGGTTACCTATGTTATTTGGTTTTCGTGGGGCGATGGATGGAAAGATCGCAGTGATTATATATAGATAGCACTATCTGATATATCCGTAGTAATTGTATTTCGATATACCTACCTGCGTATCTAATATATCGAGGTAAATCTAAATATCTGGACGGCTTAAGATACCTACGAGTAAATACTCTGTATCTACGTAGCTACTAGGAGCTGCTTCACCTTACTTACTCTTGCTTGCCTTACCCCGCGGCCTAATCTACTAACCTAACCCAGAATAAAACACATGTACCCATGTATGTATAGGTATGTATAGGTATGTAACAAAGCACCTGCGAGTACATTGTATATTGTAGGAGACGAGAGAGAGAGAGAGAGAGAGAGTGTGTTTTTTGGTATTTGCCTTGGTCCGGTTGTTTCTTGGGGTGGAATGGTGGTGATGGAATGGAGATGGAGGGGTAGTGAAAGGGAAGTGGAGAATGATATGATGAGGGACTGACTGACTGGGTGGTTTATAAGTGACTGGGTGAGTAAATTGAACTTACGTGGGAGATTTTACTTTTACTTTTGCTTTTGCTTTTGTTTGGAGCTCAAGAGGGGGTTGAGGATACCTACCTAGTGCTAGGTAGGTAGTGAATTGCCTTTTTGGGACGATTGTGGATACCTAGGTAGATGGATGATGGATGGATGGGCTAGTAGTGGGGTGAGTTTAGCTGTCGGGGATTTTCGTAGTGAGTGGTAAGTAGTAGGTGGTTTTGATGGTTGGTGGTTTTGATAGTTGGTGGTTTTAATAGTTGGTGGTTTTAGTAGGTGGTTTTGGTGGCTAGTGATGAAAGGAAAGGAAATGGAATGGATGATGGGTAGATAGTAGATGGCAGGTAGATGAATGGATAAATAAATGAGATCATCCTTACTACCACTACCTACCTAGTGAGAAGTAATAAATAAGGAATGAGAATGAAACGGAGATGAAGGTAGAAATCACCATGGTTTTTAACATGTGTGATTACCTACTCGATATCCATTTTCGTGTAGTAAAGCTGTACCGTAGATTTATGCACTTTCCCATTCGGAGCCGAGGATATTTCGTGCATTGCATTGTATTCGTGGGATGGGATTGGATGGGGTTGATATAGATACCTAGTAGATACCTAGGTAGGCAGGTATCTTTTTGAATGTTGTAGAGATGAGAGTATAGAGGGTATAGAAATGCGTCGGTGTATGGATTGTGGTTTGGTACTGTTTTTATATTGCATGTATATGAGTATGTATATGAGTTCCTCTGTGCTAGATATACTTATGAGGAGTCGAATTCCTCTCCCTGCCAAGTATTGTCGATAAAGTATGATATATACCTAACAAATCAAACTTTGCATCTTCATGATCGGATGGGAGTGCCATGTATTGAATTAGCATGCAAATGGCAGCATAACATAACATTCCGAAAACAAGCAATCAACCACCACGATCGGGAAAAGTCGTAACCCTTCTAGAATTGGGGAGGAACTCGGTATTTATTGTCTTGTACCTTGTTGGGCCTGAAATTTCACAACGTGGGAACCAATCAGATGAATGGAAATTTGGATTTTTATGGAGAGAATTGGGAAAGTGGTAAACATGTTATTACCTAGTAGTTAGCTTGGTGGGAAAAGAGGAGAGTGGAGTGGATGCATCATGGATGCCATTCGGTCGGTATATAGATAGATAGGTGTGTACTCGTACCTACATCTCCATGCACTTGAGATCTTTCTTCCCCGGATTTATTCAACGGTCGACTTTACATTCACGTTTACATTTATTCTCACATTTACCTTTACTTCTACCTTTTCCTCTGACAATCTTGAACTTTGAATTTTGAACTTGAACTTTGTATTTATGAGTGAAAGTTTGAGTTTATACTTTATCTACCTGTCTTGATATCTGATTATTGTCCTCGGATGGGATTGAATAAAATTTGATTGTGTTGATTTGATTGATTGATTGATTGATTGATTGATTTCATTGATTGATCATAAATTGAATCCATTTGAGCCTGGCTTACGACAAACGCAACTCCTGGATCCGGTCTTGCTAAATCATCCATTCTTTACCCACAGAATACGAAACCCAAAACATCCGACAAGGTGACGCATATACCTAACGACATTTCTAACGAAGAAGAGAAAAGCAGATCGCTTCTTTACCTACACTACTATTTGAGATTCGTCTCATCAAGATAGTAACACTACATAAGACATCCCAAAGTCGAAACGAATCAACATGAATTGTCCTTCGAGAACAGATGAGCCGTTGGAAGGCGATGGATATAATCAGAATCCAAACGCCTTGGCAAATGATCTTACCACCCGAGAAGATTTGAACGGTCGAGCAAACGGGAGAGCATTGAGGAGAAGTTTGGAGGATGAAGGCGTAGAGTCAATTCATGATCTAGTGGAGGATACTGGAGATGGGAAGGCGACGGGGAGTGCGAAGGGTGTTGGAGGGGGGGCTGGGGGTGATAGGGGCGGTGGGGATGGAGGGAGAGGCGGTGGAGATGGGAAGAGTGGTCACGTGGTTGAACCTTCTGTTGAAACTCTTGATATTAGAGATCAATCGAGAGGTAGAAGGGGAGCGGGCTATGGAAGAAGTTGTCTCCATATCTCGAAAGAACAACTCGTGAAAATGAAGCAGGTCATGGTCAAGTTTGCAAAATTCGTGGGTCCGGGCTTCATGGTACGTAATTTGCCACCTCTCCACCAATGTCAAAATCAAATTCACAATGTCAAAAATTGGACTTCATTTATATTAATACATGGTTTCTTATAGGTTGCGGTGGCATATATTGATCCGGGAAATTATGCGACGGATGTTGCTGCAGGTGCAACTTATCGATTTAAGTTGTTGTTTATTGTGTTGATGTCAAACATCTTTGCCATCTTTTTGCAAAGTCTTTGTATCAAGTTGGGTACCGTCAGTGGATTGAATCTGGCGGAAGCTTGTAGAGCTTTCTTGCCAAAATGGATGAATTATGCCTTGTATATTTTGGCTGAGGGTGCAGTATGAAAATTTCTCCCCTTTTTGCATCTTCGATTTGACTAACCAATGATAGATTATCGCTACAGATATTGCAGAGGTGATTGGTACAGCTATTGCTATCAATCTTTTGATACCTCAAATACCCTTGGTTGCTGGCTGTGCCTTGTCGATTCTTGATGTTTTGATTCTTCTCGTATTTTATCCTGGAAATGGTGAAATGAAGAGATTGAGATATTTTGAAATATTTGTGGCGGCATTGGTCTTGGGTGTTGTTGTTTGCTTTTGCATCCAATTGTCACTCATCAAGGATACTTCGGTAGGGGAAGTTTTCAAGGGATACTTGCCTTCCAAAGCAATTGTAGAACAAAAGGGGTAGGTCCTTGTTATTCCACTCATCTAAACTTCTACTAACGCTTTTCAGACTCTACCAAGCATGTGGTATTTTAGGAGCAACTGTCATGCCTCACAGTCTCTATCTAGGAAGTGGCATTGTCCAACCACGACTCCTCGCTTATGACAAGGACAATAATATCGTCAAGAAAGATTTCGATCTAGGTACCAAGGAACCATACTACCCCTCTCTTCCTGCCATCAAATTTTGTCTCAAATACTCCTACGCCGAACTAGCAATTTGTCTCTTCACTTTCGCCCTCTTTGTCAATTCCGCGATTCTCATCGTAGCCGGCTCAGCTCTCTATAACAACCCTGCTGCTCCAGAGGCTGATCTTTTCGGAATTTATGATTTACTCGTGTCGAGTATCTCGAAAGGTGCTGGAACCATTTTTGCTCTCGCTCTATTATTATCGGGTACGAGTGCTGGCATTGTTTGTACCATTGCCGGTCAAATGGTTTCAGAAGGTGCATTGAATTGGACTATTAGACCTTGGTTACGACGTCTTGTAACGAGAAGTCTGAGTATCACGCCTAGTATCATCATTGCCGGAGCTGTTGGTCGTGAAGGTCTATCAGCTGCTTTGAACGCTAGTCAAGTAGCTCTTAGTATTGTTCTTCCATTTGTTACGGCACCACTCATCTATTTCACTTGTCGTAATAGATATATGACGGTGAGATGCCACGGGAGACGAGCTGCTTTCGGAAATGATAATGAGAATGTGAGGGGAGATGGCGATGGCGATGCAACGTTGGAGACTGAAAGTGTGTATGAACATGAAGGCGCAGGTTTGGGGGTTGAAACGGGCGAGGGAACGAAAATGAGAAATCATTGGATTACGGCCGCGGTGGCGGGAGTTATTTGGACAATTATGGCGGCGATGAATGTGGCTAATTTGGTTTTACTTGGGAAGGGTGATGGGGTTTGAGATGTGTTGGGTTGGGTTTTGTGAGGGGTGGGGGGAGGGAGGTGAAAATGGTGGTTTGTGGTTGAGTGTGGTTGAGTGTGGTGGAAAATGGTTTTGTGAAAACGAGGGAAAGGAAATGAGATAAAGAATTATAGATGGCTGGATGATGACGATTATGATGAAGAGCAGAAGAGTGCAAAGAATTATTGCTACCTACTTTGTTTTGGAGTAATGGCATCATCACTACAGTATTTAGGTACGCAATTAGTTGGCTATCTATACCTGGCAAATGTGCTTGAATAAAACTACGAAGTTTTCATGGAACTTTGGGCTTTGAAAGTTTGAAGTGTTGAAGTGTTGAAGTGTTGAAGTGTTGAAGTGTTGAAGTGTTGAAGTGTTGAAGTGTTGAAGTGTTGAAGTATGTAAAAGGGTTTAGTATATATTATATTGTGTGCTATATATTGTATATTGGATATTATAGATAAGATTTCAATATTCTGATATTATCATTGATATATTGTATATTGTAAAATGTATTCCGTGTACTGTGTTTGGTATATTCTACGAGATCTAAATTGATGGCTCGAAGGAGGGGTTGCTTGGAAGTTGGGAGGGAGAGTGGGGAGGAAGGGGGATTAAAGAGGAGGATTAAAGAGGAGGATTAAAGAGGAGGATTAAAGAGGAGGATTAAAGAGGAGGATTAAAGAGGAGGATTAAAGAGGAGGATTAAAGAGGAGGATTAAAGAGGAGGATTAAAGAGAAGAGGGATTGGGAGGGGATGAGGGAGAATGAGGAGGGAGGGAATGGTTGGTTATTAAGTGGGGTGTGGTGGTTTGTGATGGTTTGTGATGGTTTGTGATGGTTTTGAAGTTGAGATTGAGAATTGAGATTGAGATTGAGATTGAGATTGTTGGTTTGAAGTTGGAGGGATGGTGGGAGGGATGAGGGTGATTTCTGAGTGGTTTATCGGGTGGGATAGTTAGGATGGTTCGGATAGGTTGTGAGGGATGAGTTTGTGATGGACGAGTTTGAGTTCGAATGAGGTTGTTAGTTTGAATCTGAAAGGCTGGAAAGTATGAAGGTAAGGAAGCCATTTGAGATAGATAAAATAGTTCGAAATTGTTCCCGACAGTTTGTAAGAGTAGAGTTTGAGTGGGAATGGGATTGTTGCTTTGAGTTTGGAATGCTGAGCAGCTAAATGCTTGGGTATGAGTAAGTTATTGATGATCTTTTGTTTGGAGGTTTAAGAATTGAGTTTGAGGATTTTAAATTCGAGTTCAATGTCTGGGGTGAAGATGTCTTCTATTATCAGGGTTCGGGATCTTTTAATCTGAGTTCAGATATGCAATAGGAAGATAAGATAAAGGTTGGATGATTGTGAGTTATGGGGAGAAAGATGAAATGTTTACAGAATGGTTGGAATATGGATTGGGAAAGTCTGATTGTGCTGTTATTTGAGACTGAGGACTTTGGATAACCTCAAAAGTTAACACGGTCGTCCTAGTCATATGTCAGGTGTGTTATTATCAGAACCTGCTCATTGTCACACCATACGGGTAGCTTCCCAGGGTAGGTTTCACAAGTTAAGTCTACATGGCCAAAGAAAAGCATCACACACAAGGAAGGTGCACTCCATGACGAAATGTTGGGACGTCAACATCGATTGCCTTTTTAGAATTGAATGTCAAATCTTTCTATATGCATTCAAAACAAGAAATATACGAAGGCACTTTTAGGCGTCTAATCGATGAATCTCAAGAATTCTGTTGTGATGAAGTCATAACTTCATGTAATCATCTGGGGTTCAAATGAAAGTGTCCTTGGAAGGGATTTGATTTTAACATGCTAGACAACTCAGTCGGTGAATGGAAACGGGAGAGGATATTCGTATGTTGGAAGTTGGCATGAGGCAGCGACTTTGAAAGGGAGTGTCGAACAAAATTGGTCGAATCACAAGTGTCGAGGCTGCACAGGACCAATAACCTAGCATGTATTTACTGGGTATGTATGCACTCTGCTTGCTAATGATTGTGTTGACTACCCCTTCGCTCTCTGAATCAACATCACTCAAAACAACTTCACGATCTGCGGCAGTAGTTTAATGGTCTGCATTAATTCTGGCAGCCCAAATTAGCCTCCAATCTCGAAAAGCAGCTTCATCATGGATTCAAAACGCGTATTCTTCAGGGGCCTGCGAAGCAAACCAAAGGAAGGACAAGCTAATGACTCGATTGGCAATGGCGAGCCTGCTCCAAAGGTGGTATGCAGTGTTCTTTCAACACAATCTTGCTGTACTAATTTGATCTACAGGAAACTCCCAAAGGAGCCGTCGCTGATTTGATATCCGCAACATCAGGGAGTACTATGCAGCATCTGTATCATCTTGATCCACAAAAAATAAACCCAAAATCTGGAAAAACATTTTGGGGTCGGGCGTACGCGTCTTTGTCGGAGAGTAGTCCTGATCTATTGAAGACATACGAAAAATTGCTTCTCAATACCAATATTAATAATCTGGACACACAAGGACTGAACAAACAAGAACAAATGGCGGCCATGGTTCAAAGCAGAGTGGACATAATGGAATCAAAGCAATGGACCATCGAGTTCTCCGAAAGTCACTCAAAGTCAAGGATCAGGTGAAAGGAATCATGGAAGCTTTTCAGAAGGTCAAAGAATTGGGGACAGCTCTTGCGAGTATTGATCCAATAATTTTCGGTTCGCCTTGGACTGGTGTATCCCTTTTACTTACTGTAAGCTGGTGGTTTATCAACACTTATGACAGCAAATGCCATCTTCGTCGTTGCATTCTAGGTTTGCATCATGCAGTGACCTGAGCTTTCAGGTGTTCATGTTACAAAGACGAACATACTTAGAGTGTTTCAGATACTCATAAGAAGCGAAGTTGCATCTTAAATACTAACCAAGGAATTTTCTTTCGGTCTACTCTGATTGTTTGGTTGGTCGCTGACGATAGAATTAAGCTCGTTTTAAGTGATTTCAAACAAAACGAAACACTTCTTGATGGGTTGGAAACGATAGCAGATATCAGAGCTCGATACGCCGTAATAGAGAGTAATTATCTGAAAACTGCCGTCACAGGAGATCTCGGTATACAACTTGAGTCGAGGGTCGTTAAGATCTATGCTTGTATTCTCAAGTACCAAGCGAAAGCAGCATACCACCTTTCTAAGTCTACCCCGATTAGGTTTATGCGCAATTTACCCAAGTTGGATGCTTGTGAGTTCAATTCACCTTTTGAAGAAACAAAAAGTGTCTGCCCCTTGGAGATCTAGCAAAGTCGTTACGGACGTGTGCTTGCATTTCAGACTAGATTCAATCTGCTAACTGCTTTGATCACCAGGGAGCAAACTTTTGACCGAAGTCACTTAGGAAGACGAAAAGTACTACAAATGGGCCAGTCTTCAGGATTCAAGACTATTACGAGAGATACATGATCGCATGTCCATTCAGCCCTCAACAATAACCCCTCCTTACTTCGAGGTTCCTACAGATCGCAAGATCCCTCATTTTAAAGGCCGACGAGAGATATTAAAAAGGATTGAAGACGCGCATCTAAGAAACTCTTCTTCAGAAGCAAACATGGTTGTTTTGCGCGGCATAGGAGGACAAGGTAAGACACAAATCGCGCTCAAATACTGCCATATATGGAGAAGCAAATTTGAGGCTGTGCTCTGGGTCGATGCGAGCTCTGAGAACTCAGTTATCCGAAGTTTTGAAACAATCTACGCTAAGATCAAGGGACCTGGAAATGACTGTGGTAGTGGTGACACGAAACTAGATTTCGTCAAAGATACCATCCGCACGTGGAATTTCAGGTGGCTGATTACTTTTGACAATTACGTTACGCCTGAAACATTTTCTCTTGAAAAATACATACCGCATAGTATTCAAGGATCAGTTTTGGTGACTACAAGGCACAAGGATATCGACGCCCTGGTGGAAAACACCGCCGCAGCCATTGAACTGTTTGGTCTGCCCGACAAAGAAGCTCTGCAGCTCTTATATCAACAGAGCGGCACAGAAGAAAATTAATTCAATGAAAAGAATGGATGGAGTATTGTAAAGAGGCTTGGATATCACGCACTCGCCATTACTCAAGCTGGGGCATATATCAAAAATTTGAAGCTGGATTTTCAGCCTTTGAATCTCATTACTCTCGACGCCGGGCAGATATTTTGAAATACAGCATTCCTATGAACAAATACACCAAGCTTTTGAGTGAATTTTAAAAAGAAACGGCCCTCAATGTGTTTACCACCTGGGAATTGTCTTTTGATGAACTCAAAGCTCAGCCTAAACGGACAGATCTCGAGGAACTCCTGACAATTCTTGCATTTTTTGATCCTCTTGATATCTCTGAGGAGCTTTTCTTCAGGTATCTGATTTATCAACTTCCCTGGAGTTATAAATATCCAGGGTTTGCCTTCTGCCAGAGAGAAGCGGGTGTATGGAATAGAGATGCATTTGCCGATGCATTGCAAATTTTAGAGAGGCTGTCTCTCATACAAAGCTTTCATGCTTCTACCAATGGCAAATACCATGTATCTGTTCATCCTCTGGTCAAGGATTGGATTCGACTTCGAACCAAAGAAGCACTCTGTGAGGAGTACACCGTATTGGCAGCTGAAATGATTGCCGCTCTGGCAGAGATACATTTCCCGGAAGTGACGAATTTCCCGGAAGTGGTTTTCGTTTTCCTCTATGCGCATGAGAGAACATCGGATATATTACTACACCAGATGTCGTCGAAGGTTCATATGATGAGTCTCCGAATAAGCAATACTAGTATGAAAGTTTTTACTTTAGTGAATTGATCTTCTGCAAAATTCTTCATTCGATGCATTTTTCTAAGAGAGCAAAAGCCATAGGTGGACGCTAGTTTGAGCGACAAAAGAAATTCCACTGGGAAAACACTTGGCTGAGTTCGTTCTCTCTCAAGGAGGAAATACAGGACGTTTTGAGTATTCTAGGCATGACGGAAGAAGCATTGTCAATCTCTGAACAGCTTCACACACTACACTTGAGAATTTATGGAGAAAAAAATGAGAGAACTATTCATAGTATGGATTTACTTAGTCGAGGACTCAAAGAATCTGGCGAGCTTGTAAGTTACTGCTTTTTATGTTAATCTTTAACAAGATGCGGTGTATGTGGTAGCAACGCTTGAACTAAGGGTTCAAATCCTATTTTTCAATTCCCTCAAGGCATCAGAATATCCTTTCCTCTGAATCAAGATGAAAACCGGCTAAAAATACCTAATCATAGGGAAAAGCCTCGAAGCTACAGCGCAAAGTTTTTGAGTACAACAAAGAGAATAGACGCGATGATGCTCCCATATTCTTAAAATCTCTATTTGAAGTAACGAAAACACTCATCGAACTAGGCATTACGGAGGAAGCAGAACAATTGTATCGGGCGGCGATTGACCTGCAAGTGAAACTCCTAGGAGAAGCCCATGTTACGACCTTGAAAATCAAGATCGAGTTGGCAAAACTTCTGGAAAAAACGACCCAGACGGAAGAAGCAAATAAGCTGTTTACAGAAATCTTCAGCTTCGCAAGTACCTGGGGCTGTTTTAGATGGCGACAAGGAAGGGGATGCCAAAATTCTTGGTTTCATGGACGATCTGGGATCTAGACTTCAAAATCTCAACAGGTATGAAGATTCTCTGGCTTTAAGCCAACAAAGATTAAAGCTGGTAGAGCGATACCGTAGCGAAGACCTTTTTCAACTCCGCTCTGCAACGGTTTTGGTTGCCCTAAATCTTCAGCAGTTCAATAAATTTGATGAGGCTGAACAATTTTTCAAAAGAAATTGGCTATTGTGTACAGTGTAGGCAATAGTATTTCCCGTATTCCGTATACGGGTTAGTTTAGTGGTACGTATCGAATTTTTTCGAAATACGTATGTATATGGTACAGAATTCAATATCACTAAAAGTATTCAATATTATTTAGTTATTCAATACTATTAGCAATATACTGAAATACTGGAATCCAATATAAAATATACATTCCTATTCGTATTAGATGACAAGTTTCCATTCCTTATTTCAAACTGAATGGGAATCCCTTATTTCTAGCCTAATTTGGATAGGAATGTATATTTTATGGTGGATTCTAGTATTTCAGTATATTGCTAGTATTCTTTAGATATATAAATATATACGAGAGTAGTATAACCTCCTTTCTACACGTACTAGCTGCAATATCAATATGCTAATACACGCCACAGTTTCACTGCAGTATACTATTGCCTACACTGATTATGTACAGAAAATCTGAAGGGCAATGATCTTCTTTCACTCGATGCACAGCTAAGGTATGCCAGGATGTTGAGGTATCTTGCGAAAAAGGAGAAAGCGGAGGAACTGGCCAAAGATGCACTGCAAAGGTTGAAAGAATCGTGTGGGGAGGAAAGCATAGAGTTTCGGAGATGGAACGAGGACTGTGGGTCTAAATGGATAGAAAAAACTAATAAAGTTTTAAAAGACTTGGATGCTTATTATGAGCAGGTTCTTGGGAGCGCCGATGATGTTACGGATGAGGAGAGGTATGCGGCGTGGAGAGCCTGGAAGGTGAAGGTGGGCGAAGAAGTTGTGGATAGATTGGAGGAGAGTTATGAGACTAGTTAGGGATCGGATCATGGGGCAGGAAGATGAAGACGAAGACGCAAAGGAGAGATATGCGGCGTTGGGACCCTGGGGCAAGGAGACGATGAGAACAATTGATATGAGAAATGCTGGGATTAGTGAGGGGTCAGGACACGGATCAAAATCGGATTTGGTGGAGCAAAGATGAAATAGGGTACGTGTTAGGCAAGGTTTGTGTTATTCTCCAAAGAGAACAGAAGGAAGCGAAGGGTCACCGAGTACATAGGATGTAGATGCGTAAGGCATCTAAGGTTACGTAACTACGCCATAAAATTGTGATAATAGTACCATGATTTATAGTCCTATAGTATAATTTGAGCCAATCTTTTCACTCGTTGCATACTAGAATTGATTTATTTGCTTGGCGTGGCGCTGTATTGTATTATCTCATCTTGTCGGTCATCGCTTTTCTGGCAATCGCTAATCTATTCTTCCTGCACAGTAAATCAGGGGCTGAGAAATCCCTGGTTTCCCCACTTATCACAGCCAAAAAAGGATAAATAAATGTAGGTCCATCACCATATGTTACTTTTCAAAACTGGTAGTCTCACGACACATTTGACTTCGCAGCCGGTTTGGTACACTCGGCTCCAACATGCAAGTCATGGATATTTATTCTACATGCCAGGTTATCGATACCAAGAAAGTTCCCGGCTTTTTCTCACGCTATCCCGCTGCCATAAGTGTGGGTGCTACGGATGTTGAGAGTGCTTTGTCAGCGGTTGCTCGAGAGGCTTCCCAGCCTGACTCGGGAGAGAGACGTCGCGCGTTAATTCGGCATTCCAATGCCTATGGAGACCCATTTTCGATATGTCATTGCTCTGCCGAAGTCGAAAGACTGGTTTTGCTTGCTAGCATAATCGAGGTCATGTGGATACACGATGGTACTTTATACTTCATTATGAACATAGATAAATAGAAACAATTCTAATGGTTGATAAGATGTGACAGAAGAATTAGATCATGGTGCGGTAAGCTGCGATTGTAGATTGGACAATGAGGTCGTTCACTAAAGGATGCGTAGGCATGCAGAGAACACAGTGCGCTTGCCGAAGTATTGAAAATCGACGTGCAGCCTTCAGATTTCGCTTCAAAGAACGCACGACAAAGCGCACTAGCGACTGTACTGCGCAAAGCAATCGATTTAGATCCAGAAAAGGCGCCTAGAATGATCGAAATCCTCCAGGATTATCTTGCGACTTTTGATAGTCGAGATGATGATTTCGATCGAATGGAGGAGTATATGCCTTATAGAGTTGCAAACTGCGGTTATTGGCAAGTACTTGAAAAACTAGATCTTTACAAGATTAGCTACTAATACTGCACGCCGCCGCAGGATATCGTCTTACTTCATTTGTTGGGGAATGGGGATTACGCTTAGCCATGCTGATTATGAATCAATAAAGCAATATGACTTTATGATGGGAAACATACTCGGCCTCACAAACGACTATTTCAGCTGGGATATTGAGAAAAACCAGACGACAGATCGGATTAGGAACGGAGTGAGGGTACTCATCAAACAGCATAATATATCACCTGATGCTGCGAAATCATTGCTTCTCGGGTTGATAGTCGAGGAAGAAAGCAAAGCTGCCAGACTCAAAAAAGAGCGCTTGGAGCGACCAGTTTCGCGCGAGTTATCTATGTATTTCGAGGCTATTGAACTCTATGTTGGTGGAAGCTGCTTTTGGCATGCGACCGCGCCTCGTTATTGCGTTTTTGAATGAGGATTCAGACGGTTTGGCGATACAATTACGGACCCAAATGATTTTAGTGTAATAGTACTAGTCTAATGAAAAGTAATTGTAGTTAGTATTTCTAGATATATGCTTTAAGTATGAACCTCCACAGGGTACAAAGTGGGAAGCATAGGGTAGACATAAGGGCGTTCGGAGCTCTATCATATCAAGGATTGTGTCTCTAGTTTTGAGAGGACGAGCTTTGTATTAAGACAGAGCTCTCAACTGGGTAATCAGGGCTAGCTCCCCCTTCCTTAGAATCACGTGAACCATACTTTTGACAATGTAGAGTTATATACTCAGTGCTGAGTTGATCTAGCATCTTCTTCCATTTTATAATAAGAATAAACTAATCGAACCAAACAAATCAAACAAACCAAGAAAACCAAATTACCTCAGCCAATCAAACCAATCAAAATGACACTAATTTTTTTTCTTCGCTTAAAGTTAGAATTCGGTCATTTTTATATGGTTGTATTTGTTATCGTGTTAAGCTGTGGAGGAACTTTCTCTCTTCTGTATGAGACTTTCTCTGGTCAGTCTCACGTATCTAATAGCGTTTGAAGCGCTGTTGGATACTCCTTTCAACTCTGTAAGGTGACGTTCATATGATTTTGGGTATTGAAATGCTCGTGGATAGTTCATCATGAATTGGATTCGCGCCTCAAGTTCCCTAAGTAAAAAGACTCATTAGCATATCATATTCATATTTCATTGTTAGTATCAAGTATCAAGTATATTTGATACTCGATCCCATAATTCGATCTGAGATATTTAAGACATTGAATGGATTGGATAACATACTGTAATGCGTTTTCGGCCCAATTAATACCATGCTTTCGGAGCTCATCAAAATTTTCAAGAGTAGGATTCATCCCCTGAAGTTGTTTCTTCAAATTATCATATCGAGCTTTGTATTTGACGCGTTCCTTACGACAATAGTGATATTCCGCATGCTTTTTTTTCATTTCCTCGGTCCATATCATCGCCGAATTTTTAGCGTTTTCTTCCATATACTGCTCTGCTTTAGTAACGTCGTTATTTTCCACAAGTGTGTTCATCGCCTCTACTGCCCCCCCAAGATCCTCACTGATGGTCTTGGTTAATACTGTGTAGTGAGATGAATCAGATTTCTGTGTTTTTTGCGAATCTTTTGATCCGCTGGATTTTCCAGAATTCTTGGAATCGTCGGATTTGCCAGATTTTTTGGAATTCTCAGATTTGCCAGATTTTTTGGAATCGTCGGATTTACCAGATTTCATGGAACTGTCAGATTGGGGATAGTCAGAACTCCCTGCGCGTCTCGACATAGTGACGAAAATTGAGGCAGAAAATAATAAAGTCTAAAAGGAGCAAGTAAGATAACGGGTGTTCGGAAAAATGTCAAAATTCTAAATGATCTTGTAATAAGAGTAACTGAAGCTGATGAGTTTGGGATAATATGAATTTCTGGTAGATCTGCGTGGTATTTATACTGGAGTGTGAAGCCAACAGCTTCCTATAGTAACACAAAGTCCTTATCCATAGACATAGACGCGGCTACAGCTTGCAAGTCCGGGCTTCTTTCTCGGCCTGGAACGATCGCATTTGTTGGACTTTAACAAGCAATCACAATTTCTCACAAAACGTTGCAAATACCTTTCGCGATATTGCAAGAATTATATTTCTAATAGTCGCTAGTTTATTGAGTATAGAGAGCAGTATATCGAATGGCTTGAAGAAATTGAGAAAAGACGGATCTCGAGCACTTTGTGATTCATTTCAAGATATGTTTTGATATTAGCGCTATAATTGGATTTTTGTCTGCTGTTACTTTAATTCAACGTTTTTTTTCTTTAGTTGTTATGATTTGTAGGCAAAACGATGTAGCTCGTTCTCTTGTCGAGTTACGCGCTATGCTAGGGGAAAATCTAGTAGAAAAGATTAGGCTACAAGATAAATCAAAATTGAATTGATGCCTAAAGTCTGTTATATTGGAGCCTAATCTTGGGCGTGAGATGAATGCCTCTTAATCATCAGTTTGGATACATGATCGATACTCTCAAATTGTCTTCCTTCATTTTGATCTTAGGTTCTAGTATGCATTTCTGCTACAACGACTCTTTCTAAGCACCGCATCACGTTTTATTATCGAATACGATGAAGCGTTACAAAACTGCATTGCTTCTGGGTCGCTTTAGGTCCACGAACTATCCAATAACACTGGAAGTCTCCAAGACAAAGTAGAGAAAGAAAGTCTATATAAAGATGTAGCTTCATTATCATGTAGAGCTTCGTGATCCAGACAAACATTAGTTTCATTACTATAGTTATAAGAATTATAATACAGTTAACTATACTATATCGATTTTCTACCTAAAGTTTGAACTAAACTCATCTCTCTCAACAATAGGCATATTGACGATTATGTTACGAAAAATAGTTGCTTATACTGATAGCCAATTGATCTCTGTGATATTGATAATTGGAGGTAACAAGGTTGTATTGATAACAGAATTCCGGAGCTGTCTGTATTTTGAGGCTATTGAGCTCTATATTAGTGGAAGCTGTTTTTGATATGTAACTATGGGTCCAAATCATTATACTGTGATTTTTTTTGACTAGTCTCTACTTTACGCTACAGTTATTAATCACGATCTCAAAGCTCCAGCCGGTCCCACTCGTACACGCGTCAGGTTCTTGGAGATATGTATACATATTAAGATCATAAAGACAAGCTACAAATGCAGTGGAGGATCCGATTACTCCTGCTCAGAATGAGTTATAATCCTCAGTCTATAACATTATATGTATAATGCATGGAGCTTATTATTTCAAAGCTATCATTGTCAACGACTTATCCTCAAAAGTCAATCATAAGTTAGGTCAATAAGACCTCTTAAATATTCTTCAAGTTATTATCATTCTCTCTCTAAGTTATATAGACACAGAGAGGGTCATTTCGCGCAGAGGGCAGCAAACGAGTCTTTCGATTGTGTGGCCAAGCTCAAGTTTGCTTAAAAGATAGTCACAACCCTCGCTGGATGTAAGTTAAAGCATCCGATACTAAACACTCCCCCATTTCCTACACCCCAATTAAGCGATTTTCTAGACTATTAGAACTGTGTGAACATAGGTGAATGATCTTAAGTCATCAGGCCACTGTAATACACTAAGCGAGATGGCTAGCTCCGTAGCACATAAAAATTGCTTCTTTATATAGATAGCTAGCTCTTTAGATAGAACATAATATTGACATTTACGACGTATTATCGTAGGTACTGCATCACCTGTATCCTCCTCAAACCAAAAATTCTACAGCAGAACCATTTATCCCGGTTATAGCCGGCATAATCTAGCCTAATATGACTGGAGAGATCACGTGATTAGTGATCTCTATATCTTCTAATGCAATGCTATTCTTTCAAAGGCAAAAGACTTGGTAAAATTTAGCTATCAAAAAATTAAGTTCTATAAATAGTCTATAGATGAGTATTAAATCATCTTAAAGTTGTTATTCGCCCCCCGGCTACTCGTTGCGTAGTCCATCTTCCAATCTATCTCCGACGATCTGTACTGAGCAGGATGTATCTATACCTTCATTCCATCGACGATGTTTGTGAGAGGTCTGTCCTCTAATAGCTTGGTGGTGTGGCTCAGATAAATCTATCAGGGAGCACATAAAGACTATGCATATATATACTTGCTCCTTTAATGCAATGAAGAGAAGATGATAGAAGACTTCTACTGGAACTGTGAACTTCAGAGAGTATGTCACGGGTTCAATACGTACTTATGTGGATGCCTTAGGCATCTACCCTCCATATAGTTGGCGTCTCCCCGCCTCCTTCTTCACTCCTTGTAGAATATCATACATCTTATCTAGTACCTATCTCTTGCACCGTGATAGATTATAACTTGATTGATTTTGAACCAACGAACTAACTAGTGAGCCATATAGTCAAGATCGTGAATTTGAGCTGAGAGATAAAGAGAGCGCATCCTTCAAGGAAATAACGAATCCTAAAAGCCACAATTCGGACAAATCATGATCACATTGTAGGTACGTAATGAATATAGAGAGCAAAAGCGGTATAAAGTCCAGATTTAGCTAAAGCTATAGCCCGAGCACTAGTATAGGTTGTGAACCTCACGCTCCATGCCTTTCTTCTTCCACTTCCCAACAGACAATGTATTAGACATGTGGAAAGAATTCCACCCAATTTAAAGTCTTATAGATATCGGGATCTTGACCACGGAAAGCAATTACATCTTCCACCAGGATAAATCCCCGTGCGATAATGTATGCAGCACCACAAAATAGAGCTGGTAAGAGCACCCTTAACTGCATTGTTAATGATGGGTCTTGATTCGGGGAAATATTTGAGAGTTTGAGAACAAGTCGGTCTTTTCGTCTTTTAAGTCTCTCAAAAAATGGCTTTTTCGCAGATAGCTTTGGATCGTAAAGTATAATGCTTGATTTGCTGCTATCAAATCGATCGCATGCTCCCTTTTTCATATCTGGGAAGCATGTGAGTAATAACCGGTGATATGTTTCACCAAATATTACAACAGCTGACAGTATTGACGAGCATACCCTCCATGCTTGCTTTTCGAGTATAGTGGGGAAGATTGAATTCCAAGCGATGAAATTGGTTCCCCATGACAGAATCCCAAAGAAAGCAAGTATTGCTATACCTGTAATAGATGTAACTGGAAAAATATCATCACGCCGCCACTTGATAGGTCGTGCTTGATCTTTGTTCATCATGAATATTGCAGACAGTATGTTCAGACAATATCGCCAAGCGACCTCATAATATGATCGCTCGGCCTTCAAGAAATCAAGCGGTGTATCGTACCAATTTACATGTTCTTGGCCTGCTCTCGCATGTATTTCTGATATTGTGAAACTGACATTGATGATTCTCCGTGTTTCGACATCGGCAGGCTTGTCGAACCAGAATATGAAAACGCCAATAGTCGTGATTATGAACCCAATTGTTGTAAGCTCTAACGTTGTAATAGTAAGATGCTGTAATTTTCGAGCGATACAATTCATTAGGAACCACAGTACCTGTACTATGGTAGAGACCCGCAACAATATCCCCTGTTTATTTCTGTCGTCAATTTCGTTTTTATCGAGCACAAACTGGGTTGAAATAACAGGCCCCTTGATCCATTCTTTTTCGATTAAATAGAGGATTTCATTCGCATCCAACGGCCAAGTGACTCCTTCCCCTGTTTGTATCGCGAAGCCTCCCATATCAGCATAGAATGAATGTCTCATTGACCAATTGTCAATACCTCGTTCCTTGAATTTACGACAGGAACTGCGTGCTGATTCCCATTGACCGATCGTAAGTAGCAGTAAGAAATCGGGTCCGAGAATACACAGTCCTGCCAACTTGAGCTTCCGGTAGATTTTAGCCCATGTACTTTCTCCATGGGGACCAATATTGACACACAAGACTGACCAAACGCAAATGAAAATGGTAAAAGTACATGATAATACTATATTCATTGTACCCCTGTAATCAGGAGAATTTGTCCAGCCCTGCAGCGGGGTAGCTAGAACAGTACTGTTTGACATATATAATATGTATCGCGAGGCAGGGAAAGTAGGGCGGGATAGAAGGAAGAAAGGGAAGTGAGAAAAGCAGAAGAGGAAACGGAGAAAACGGAGAAAGCAGAGAGAAAAAGAACAGGAGAAGCCAGAGGACAAGTAGGCTATAATTTATCCAAGACCCTTGAGAGTAGCATGCAGCAGCACTGAGAAGGCTGCCTATCTCGGGGCAGACCCCAGCAATCAATGTAATAGGCTGGGGGATGATTTATGTTGGGTAGCTGCTACAGCATTGCCTCCAAATGAAAATGATTGGTTAGGCTATATACTCACTTAGCCCCGTCAGTCCTATCATTTGACTAGCAATCGTTAAGGATCAATCACCCTTAAAACCATATGTACGGAGACGTTAGTCATAGCGAGTAATGGAGTAGCTGACAAATTAAACGGCTGGCCATTCCTAAGGATTCTCCTCAACTTTACAACTGTAAGCTTTAGTCCAGCCAAGAACTTTAGCTAAATGATAATCTCTACCACTAGTAATTCAATACCTCACACAATATACAAGAGCTTTGAGAAAATGAGGGTTATGGTGTTTGTTAAGCTGGGATAGTATCCCGGAATAGTGATAGCGATGTACACTCGCAAGTGAACTATGCACAGTTTCCAAAAATAGTTCAACGACCGAAAGAAAGAGGAGAAAAAAGCGTGCCGAAATTCCGAGCTTAGCCGCAACTCCTTTGTATCTTCCAGTACCGATAGATTAACCCAACTGTTGCTAATCGCCTTCTGTGGCGATTTTGAGAGGGGTTTTCTTTCAATAGCCACGCTATATACGTGTATACATGTGGCCGAACAAAGTGAGGTGAGGATTGAAGGTTCGGAGACCAATAGAAACTCATGGCTTCTATCTACTGGAGGTATTTATAGTTGGGGCCCCTAATTTCAACCCATCCAAGTTGAGATGGAGCTCGAAGTGTGGCAACCCTGGCAGGGTTACATGAACAGACTTCCCTTTCCATACCATAGTCCCCACCAAGGCGACCAGTGAGTGCATGGATTGACAGGACACTTTTTGACTGTCAAAATTCACAAAAAATTCTTCATTTGATCGCTTGATATTACAATTAATTCTCCTATTATTCATTTGGTAATAAACCATTGTGTGAGATTTCAAGGTATCTAAACTCAGACTTCAGAAAAGATTAACACTCAACATTCGCAGTAACCCTCCAAATTGAATATTGGCACAGGGAGGAAGCGGGTGGCGGCTCCACATCGAACGCGTCCCGGGGCGGTACGAACCAGTCAGCACCAGTCCGTGCCCACCCTGATGGACCAACTGTTGGACTTCCAATTTAAGCGTAGTTAATAATAAATACGTTAACCTGGTATTTGAAGTATTTTGATAGGCAAACAACGAAATTTATTTTTGTTTAAAGAAAGCAGTTTGACTAAAGTAAGAAAACAATAAATTTTTGGCAGAGGGTGCAAGATTGACACCTCCACGATTGACCAGGTATTGGGTTGCGTCAGTCGTAAAGCCATAGACTGTTATGCCAGTACACTTGGTGTCGATGTTAAATAAAACCTCGGCGCATGTTGAAGAGGTTGTACAATCTGAAGGAAGTAGTAAGTAAAGGGTTGGTTATAGGGACTCAAGTGTCCTTGGTGGCCGAGGAAGGGACAGGATAAAAAGTGCTACGTACCAGTGTTCCAATCGTCGAAATATGTGAAATAAGATGATCCATACACCACAACGTCGTGTGAGTTGGTCATGATTTGCGCCCAAGCGACATCGGTGCCGTTAAGAGGCCCAGAAAAGATAGGGTCACTCAATTGCTTCTTATAGGGGTAAGGATAAGAGGCGACTGGATTTGGCTGGTAGTAGGGCTCTTCTGACTGTGCCATTGACATGAAGATATTCTTGGTGTTGGCGAAGTTGTACTGGTACTTGGAGTGGTGCTCCGAGGGTGTATTGATGAGCCAGTTGTTCCCAGCTGCACTCTCAACCAGTATGCCTCTTCCAGCAAAGATCTGAACCTGGCCGAGATTGCGATCGTCTATGTCGTGGTCTGCAGCCCAGTGCCAGCAGTTTTCCAAGTAGGCTCCAGTAGCGCTCTTGGTAATGTGCATCGACATGAATGCGGCCATGCAGTTGGCATCAACGGGTGGCTTCTTCACTCCTGGCGTCGTCGGGCACTGTGCAACCTGCAGCTCCGAGCCTTCCCAGCCACCGATGCGAGTATGCACATCCCAATAACCACCAATTCCTGAAGTGGAAGATTCGAGATTGTGCTGAATGAGAATTGCACCGGCAGTGCCGCCTTGAGTACCTAGAACAAAGTCGACGAGTTCAGTTGCTCCACGTTCGCCGGGTTTGCCAACCTGAAGCAGAGGCTGTGGGTGATCAAGAGACTTGAAGTATTCACCGGCAGCAAAGATGTTTGGGAAGGCTTCGCCAACGATCTTCGTGTTACCGGGGATGTACAGTGTTCTCGTAACCTTATAGCTTCCGTGATCGAGAAAGAGAACCTTCGACTGGGCAACGGCGACGAAAATGGCTGCTTGAAGAGCCGCCGTGTCATCTGTTAGCCCATCTCCCCTTGCACCAGCAGACCGAGCACTGATGAATGATTTGACAGCAAGGCTTTCATATCCAGGTTTGGCCTGGGAGAACCACTTCTGGGATCCAGGCTGGAGGAGCCCACTTGGTCGCTTTGTTGGAGTTAATGATCCTGAAAAGTTGGAGGCGATGTTTTCCTGCAGCTTGTTACCTTGTCCCCATCCCGAGATGGTGCTAGTCCCACCTGCGAGCACTGCGACTTTACCGACTAGCTGTACCATGATGGTCACATTTTGATACTCTACATTTTCGAGTATCAAACTTCCCGCCGCTGACGATTGGAAGAGGGGATTCCCACGTTCGGAAGCAATGCCAATCTGAACATTCTTGAGCGAGCTGTCAATCAAAGAGACTGCTCCGGTGGCAACGAACGTTGAATAGCTATGGAGCAACCATTGAAGGCAACTCCCTGAGCCGTAACCGTGGTAGAAGTCTGAAGATTGAGTCCAGTGACACAGCCGTTGAAGGTGACGTTGCGAAGATTCGATTGGCCACCAGGGATTATGAATCCATCATGACCGCCATTGAAGACGAGGTCACTGTAAAACATCTCCCCTCCTGCACTTGTGAGTTAGCAGAGACACTACAGATTTCAATATAGAGAAAGCACAAAGTGAAACTCACCACCTCCCATTAGCCCGATGTGCTGGACTCCTTCAACGGTAGGCATGTTGACAACTATGTTATGAAGACTAGTTGCCTGTGCTGATGGCCAATTGATCCCCGTGACATTGAAACTTGCAGGTACCAAGGTTGTATCAATGACCAAATTCCGGAGCTGTCTGAAAAATATGTTTGCGGCGATCGCAGCAGATGATCTGTACTACGTTAAATCATGCGCGCAATTTCTTCGTGAAATTAAAAACTGACGGGTTGCCATCAATCAATCCTATTGCCACCGGTGCATTTTGGAATGCGGGAAGTGCCTTGATGACTGGTAAACAGTTGGGGTTGCCATGCAGAGAGACCCCATAGTTCTGAATAATAGTAGAATTCACCATGTAGGTGCCCGCTGGAAAGTATACCAATGCCTGGGCTTTCTTTGAATTGTCAGCGGGAACGTGTAACGTCTTAAAACCGAAAGTGACGGGTCCTAGGAGGAGACCAACAGCCTACAGCAAGTAAAAACTTACAGTGATCGATAAACATGAGTCAGGGGCACAAGTATTGCCACTGCTGATGGCAGCATTGATGGCGGCTGTATCATCTGTAGAGCCGTCTCCTTTGGCACCAAAGTCCTTGACGTTGCGAAAGACTTGAAATTCGCGAGGGTTTGAATTGAAGGCTGCAATACCTTGATGTTTGATATCCTCAAGCTAGTAGTTACAAGAGCGAGAGTGAGAGTAGGGAGAAGCATCCGAATCTCCCTGATCGCCGCTCGAGCCGGCGCTCACGGAGTCCAGGAAGAAAAGACAGGCAAGGAACTTCAAGAAGAACAAACTGAATACCATCGTAAAGGGAGTGAGTGGGATAATAAATGTTGGCATTGAAGTCTTTGATGGAAATCAGACGTCCTCTTATCCTCCTATATATAGTGCTGGCAGTGGTGGTGTCTACAGGGCAAGACGACTTGATGGAGTTCCCATGTCCCTGTTCTTCTTTTATTTAGACCCACGTCTACGTATACTTCACTTGAACTTGTAATGAACTCCACAACCTTTCAGTCCAAATACCAGAGTTTGAAACCATCCGAATTGTTGAACTCTGACGTAGATTAATCTCCCCCGCTGAATAAAGCGCCGCATCGCCACTTTTGGTGGGGCTTTTTGAGAGCTGTCCCAAGCAATACTCGCCGAGTTTCTGTCAAGGGCTTTTAGGTATACCGGTAGTGATTTTGGATATACGCTAGTGCTGAGATTGTTAACAGGGACTGAGGGACTGTAGAAATTGAGAGTAGCAATAGTAGGATAACCCCACGTTTAGGAGGCGCTAAGTCTTAATTAGAAGAGGGACCAGCTTAGAGTTGCCCCACATATAATAAGTCAGGTAGTATATTCTCGTATAGAGACTGATTACGGTATTAGCTTTTGCAAAGCAAATACGGAGCTATACGAAAGTTGGAAGGGTCAGTTGAACCTAGACATAAGGTGTTACGTTCAAACTGATATAGGGCTCTGAGCGACACGTGGTATTGGACTACTCCGGGTCGACAGTAACCTGCGTATAACCATAAAATTTGGAATTTTATAGTTTTAAGAAGAATGATAAAAAGTCTTTGTACTACAAATGTTACAACGGATTAGTAACAGGCTGTAGAATCACTGACTTATAGGCTATAATGGTATTATAGGCCTTAGTAATTCAGCTGCAGTATACTAAGGGATATTAAACATTCAAAGAAAGCCTTAGGTATATATATAGTATTAGTTATAGAATACCTTAGAAATCTAGAATATAATTCTTAGAATAATAGATTCTAAGAAAAACAGAATATAATAAGTAAAAAGGCTTCACTAAGATTAATAATATCCTAAAGAATTGGTTTTAAAATAAAAGAATAAGTTAGAATAATAAGAATTATAGAATAAGTGTTATATGACCAAAAGCCAATCGATTTGTTTATCAACTTGCTGATCGATTTATTGACTGACTTCAGTATAAAGATTTATATAAAAAATGGGTTTTATTATAATATAAAACTTTGTATTTAAGAACAATTATTAGTTTCATTATTATAGTTATAAGAATTACAATTAGTTACAATCTTATTGAATTCCTATTTGAAGTCTAGTCTAAACCACCTCGAGAGATCTCTAGACACTTTCACGTGACCCTAGAGGCAGCTCCCGTAACAACAAAATACTGGTTGATTTACTACAATTTTATACTTTTATAGAGAAAGTATATAAAACTAATAACATGGTTTATCAGTGAACAGATTACATTAATGAACAAATCATTTCGAAAATTATCTAAATCAAGCTTTTTAAAATATTAATATTTTAATAATCAATTATTGTTTTTTTGAATGAAAGATCTTAAAAAATAATTAAAATATAGATTTTCTATTAATCTAATTTTTATAAAATATAGATTTTCTATTAATCTAATTTTTATAAAATAATTTTATTATTTTCTAAAAAAGAAAGGAAATTGTTACAATATTTATTACAAAAAAACTATTTTTATAATAATAATTTTATAAATTCGAATTTCTTAAAACTAATTAGATTTTTAAAATTATTTTATATTCAAATATTTTATATCAAATTTTCAGAAGATTATATTTATAAATAAAGAAAGTATATGATTACATATAAATGAATTTTATATGTAAAATAAATGACTTATTCACTAATATAATCCGCTCATTAATAAATCATGTTATATAATTATAAATGAATAAATAAAGAAAACACAAAATAAATTAAAAACCATTCAAATACGTTGAAATAGTGAAGGATTCACAATTTTTGAGAAAAAGATATCAAGATAATGAGAATTCTTAAAATTCTAACGGTCTGATTGGTCAAAAAGACCTCTATTAAGCAACGACTCCCGTAACTGATACTTTATGAGAGTGAGAGGACATTTCTAAAGATAGTCGAAATCTTATTCATTCAATGATACGTTCAATACTAAAGTAAGTATCATTGATTTTGATTTTTGATTAAAAGATAGCTCAGGAACTAGTGCGTTACCTAGTGAAAGTATCTGCTATCTCACTTCAACTTCCTGCTTTCGCTGTTGTCCAATCCAGAACCATTTTTCATCGGTTTTCCCCCACTAACCACTACATACGTAATATTATTCCGGCACTTCCACCCTTCTACTCCTGCCATAGTGTTTTCAAAACGTTTCTGGAGGCCGATAGCTAAAACCAATAGATATGGATATATGCCAATACGAAGAACAACCGAACCATCGGTTTCACATTTATGGTAATATCTTCGGTCACAACATTGGTAAAGCCAGCATCAGAGAATATTGAGCCAATCGATCCATATGTGAATCGATCGAATGCGGGCATCGCAGAATGTTTGTTGATTGTGCTCCACGAGTCAACCCTCGCCTTCGGCTCCGACTTCATGTAACCAGTTGATCACAATCAATCAAACCAATTTCGTCCGAAGTAGTCAACAATCTTGCAAATTGAACATTTCTCTGAAATTCGATTTAACCGTTTCACGGTTCACAGGGCTGCACAGCCTTGAGGCACGATGAAAATACAAATTTCTCGAGGAAGCTGACTTGGTATTGAAAAATATGCGAGGCTGGAGCCTTGCACGCTTGAAAATAACTAATCAAAAGGCAGGAAATCCATTACGCTCTAATCTGACCTATCGTGCGCCAGAGTTCTACTTTAAAAGCAATTTCATAATCCAATCCACCGATGCGCACCCAAATAATGGACCGCAACCTCCACCACATACCAGTTACTCCACCCTACTCCCTACCCCCCCACACCATCCAATCAATTACATCCATTTCTCACCGTCGCCATAGCCGACCAGATAAGCAACCAAATCAGTAGCCCCAAGAAAGCAGCTTGCGCGGCATACACCCACCATTTGTAGGCATGAATCCGCGACGGTTCCTCCCTCTTCTCCCGAAGGATTGTCGCGAAGCAGAGGATCGAGACTAAGGTAAACGCAATGAAGAAGGCAGTGATTACGATAGAGGCCTGCCAGGCACTGCATCCCGGGTCTCGCTTCTCATGCTGATGAGATCCGACGGTACGACGCTTTAGGAATCTGGGAGATCTGAATAGACCATTAGGTTTATTGCGAATCGCGGGGGAGGAGGTTGAAGTCGGGGATATAGGTGGAGCGGATGATGTAGTAGAGGCTATAACGCCAGTAATGCAGGGAGTCAAGGCATTCTGGGCAAAAAGGTGGCAGAAGCCAGTGGCAAGAGTCGTGGATAGAGTTGAGATCGTTGTAATGGCAGTGGTTGAGAATATCTCTGTTGTCAAAATTGTGGACGTTAAGAGAGCCGTGGTTGCAACGGCAGTGGTTATAGAGAGTTCAGTTGATAAGATTGTAGAGGTGAGAGAAGCAGTAGAAGTGATGTTAAGAGTGACTACAGCAGTGCTTGTGCCCTGAGGCAGGATAGTAGTAGCGACGACGTTGGTGTAAGAGACGTATACGATGGAAGTAGAGTATACGGTTGATTTTGCCCGTTCCAGGTCGACAAAATCGCCAGCACCAGTGGATACAGAGGGATGGGAGAGAGTGTCAACCATGGAGGATAGGTCTGAGCCAAACGAGCCAGCAATAGTTTCCGCGGTGGTAAGAGCACCGGCGGAGACAGCAGAGAGGGGAACAGTATCTAGACCAATGTCAACGACCATGGTTCAAAGCATAGAAAGCTGAATATAGGACAGAGGGAAGCTTACCTTGAGCAAGAGTCAAGACAAACATCAAGAACAAGAGCAAAAGCTTATAGAAATCCATCCTAATGTTGCTTTGGAAGCTAGATTAGTATAGTAATCTAAGATTGGAGATCTCATTGGGAGGACAATAAGATTTACCGTTGGGAAAATTCCGCTCTGGTAGGAAAGGAAAGAAAGACACTTACAAGACGAAAGTTAAGCAAGAATGGGGTTGTGGAGCTTAAAGAGTGATTTGAAGAACTCTGAGTGTAAACCAGAGGTGTCGATAACGTTGATAAATGGCCCAGAGCAACGCGAGAATTGATTTGAAAGAACGATTTTCGTTATGAAAGTCTGTGAAGTTGAGGAGAGGAGTCTGAATTGAATTGTACGTATTGTAAGTAGTTTGAAATGTTAAAGAAGCTTTTACGTAACGACTCAGAGGTGTGAATTGAGTTTGTGGGTATTCGTTACAGGCTATAGGAAGTTTCAGTAATGTAGGAGGCGACTTTAGATTGATGGTAATAAAATATCTTGGTAGCAAGAAGTCTTCTGGCTTGGTGCGCGTTTTGGTTGTCGAAGATTAAAAAGTCTTTCAGAAAATGAGAAGGAAGTTTTTAAACAGAGAAGACCTTGAAACCACTCAAAACGTATCATTGTGCTCTTTCGAGGAACAAGCGAGCGTATCAGAGAAATATTTGGATCAAAGCTCCCAGTAAATTGAATACCTTTTAGTTCGCGCTGCAGTGAATGACACGATCGCTGAGCACGATCGCCGACATCCCGATCGTAGTGAATAAGATTAGTCGGAGAGAAGATCAATAGCTGGAGTTTGATGATAGATCCATAGATATGACCAATCCGTTTGAGGCTCGTGGCTTGTGGATGCTCGTTGATGACTTGGAAAATATGCTAGGAATGACCAAGCCGATGGATTTTGCGTCCCTGGCTCGAGATGCGAGGGCCAAAATGATGTGTCTTTATGAGTAAGCCTTTGAACTCCATCGACTCTTTTACAAATTCCTAGTCCGACGTGGCAACGCTGAAACTGACCCCAAGTATTATAGGCCAAGCTTTCACGATGTATAATGGAAATGCGCGAAGCTCGTACGTCTCTTGACCGACCCATGAAGTCATCAAAGAAAATCTCGACGCCAAAGCCCTGAATACAAGAACTTTCGGAGATCTAAACTCCAGGTCAGCGCAGCTTGACGTTATGTTGATCTTTCAACTGCCCGAATGAAAGATTGGAAGATAAGTAAGCATGGACCTTGGACATGCCTTCGAATAAGATGCTTATCAAACCCACACTAATGTACTTGTAGAGCTGCTTTGCCAATGCAGAGATAATCGCTCAATACGAACATGTGCCAAATAGTCGAGAGGCCCCTTGCTTTAGTGTGAAGCCTACGACTATATCCTATCTTGCAAAAACTTACTAGTGTAAAAATTCTATATATAACATTAACAAACAAACCCTGGCACATATCCGAAACTTTGAGGCTCTCCAAGAGACTCCTCATTCCACAACTATTGCCAGCGAGCTTCGGTCATCAAGCTATGTCATCCGATTTTTCACAAGAGCTGGACCCGGTCTCAAAGCTTGAACAGCAGGGATTGATACTATACTGAGAATCTGGCAGTGAATTTTTGAGAAAGAATCAGACGATCCTGATAGAGTTCGAATGTGGTCTGTTTAAGCCAAATGATGGCTCTATAGCCACCCGCTACCGACGACAAATCTTTTCGCAGAGTGACGAGTCTGAAACTAGAATATCAGCAGAAGAAGTTTCATATATATGGCATAACAAATAACTTTCAACAAGAAAAGGAATCGAGATTGAACATCGACAGCTCGCCGGATGGCTCACATCCTCTAACCAGAACATAGAGCAAGCATTTTTAACATATCGATCGTCTAGTCAATGCATCCAGATTTGAGACGCAGACTGGTCAGGAGCAGAACTGTCGCCAAAAATTGGCATGACCCCAGTGTGTACCACTCCCCTTGTAGGGTACGGAGTAATTAAGAGGAAGCTGTGCAGACTAGTTAACGTAGTCACACACACCGACCTGTAACTATAATCTCCAATGGAGCTTCCGGCTTGGATGACGAAAATTTCACGAGATCATTCATTGAGTATTCAGGCGAAATTGTGATACTATACTCGAAAGGTTGAAATTTCAAAGGCCCCCAATGCCAGAATGCATATCAAGGGCTATCATTTCTCTGTGAACGTCTGTTTGTTCCTGGCTTGAAAAGGTGGCTCCAAACATTGCATGGCCGAACTAGACACTTGTCTATTGCCACAGCTTGAATGTACAATGAAACTTCAATTGAGGAATAGTTTTGGTAGCATCCCAGAGGCTTTACTTTGATTTACTTTTACAGGAATGTTTTGGATGGTTTTCAAGCTCGGAACACGGCTTTTCTTCGGAAGTGATGGCAGTGATGGGCAGTGATGGCTCGAGCGTCTTTCATCACCATTTAAATACCTGAAGGACAAGTGAGGTTCAAAGGCCAAGCTTACCTGCGAGAGCTCAAGGATAGCAATCTATATGGAGATGGCAGTAGTTAAATGTAGCTCTGAGACTCTTTTGAGTACAAGCTCTTTGCTCAAAAAAAAAAGCTCCAGCATTCTACACTGACAAGCAATTACTCACCAACACAAGATAGAAAGGAGACTGTATAGGTCTGAAGCCACAGAAGATGGCTGAATGATGAATGAGCTGTGGTCAAACGTGTCAAATGATATAGCATTAGATATGAGATGTTTGAATAGGAGAAAGAAGATGTTGACGAATGTGTTAGAAGATCAATACTTGTTGTGCTTGAGCCTGAATGTTCTGTCTCATGGTTTTCATATAATTTTAGTCTTTTACATGTTCTATTCTGCTTCTTATATCCATCTTGTATTGGGGGCAAAAGATATGATATCACTGTCAAAAACCATGGTGAGACTTCTCTAGCATCCTCACATTCAAGCACTATTTAGCTTCCTCATGACCTGCCTGCACTGCGTAAGCGCATTTTGGCGTTTGCTTTCGGTTGAACCTCGGATATATGTCATAGACATCCTCAACTTTCATAATCTTCTGGTAAAACATACTCACTACCTTTCCCTTCCCCCCAATTTATTACATTACACATTACTCCCTCGGACATTCGAACAATGGCCTGGCCATATCCTTGAAATAAATATTTCATGTAGCTCATGAAAGTTACAAGAACATAATTCACGTTCGGACGAAATTCCTAATATACAACAATTATAGGGTGGCGGATACAGATCGCAAACCTCTAACAATACTTTCTCCGCAAACCGTACAGGCGCTGGCAAATTCGACAAAAAAGTAACATTGGAGAGTGCATGTCTCCTATTCACAATAAACAATAAGGAATATGGCTACGACCACCGATGCTGCCCCTATAGAAGTGGCAGAGAGTATACAGATCGATGGAGCGGAACACGAGATAGTTGATATTGGAACTGATGGAGATGTCATCCTTGAAGTTCTCTTTGAAAATACGAAAGCTTGCACAAAATCGATACCGAACGAGACGATTCAAAAGCTACGCAACTCAAAATTGCCGTTTCCTTCAGCACGAGTATTTTACCGTGTCCGCCTTGATATTTTGAAGAAACACTCAAAATATTTCGAACATCTTCTTGGTTCAGATACATTTGGAGAAGGTCGGGCTATATCCGCCAGGTTTGCAGAGTTGTCCCTTTCGAGCAAAGATCCTTCAGAGCTACCAGCAGGAGAACTCCCTCGAATACAAATAACAGATGAAGATGATGCAACGAGAACCATCGGGAGGGAGGCAGTTTTCAAGGATATGCTCAGAATCATTCATGGCACAGCACATTCTAGCAAGTCTATCACTCTTCTCTACATTTCAATTTTGGTAGTTATGGCAGATAGGTATGATTGCATGACTACGATCGCGCGATACGTTGCGGGGAAATTCTCGAGCTTCAAATATCCGCCAACTCTCGACAAAACATCGGAAGAAGTTGTGCGACAGAAGGTACTGATATTCTACCATACGAATCAAGCCTTGCGCTTGTCCGCAGCGACGAAGGAGCTCATTCTTCGCGGTTCATCTCGTTGGTCAATATATGAAGAGACAAATTCTGACTTTCTAGCGGCTTGGTGGGATCTGCCAGAAGGTTTAGAAGGTGATTGATAGGTCACAATTTACCAATTACAATGTAGCTAATTCTTTGCAGATGAGCTTTCATATCGTCGACAACGGATAATTTTGACGATATCTTCCCTCCAAACACATTTTCTTTCTCTGTATACATCTCGAACACGACAATGTAAATTAGGCTATGATTCGTCAGCCGCCTGCGATTCCTTTCAGCTCGGTGAAATGGTGAAGTTCATGACGAGAAGAAACCTTCTCTCGCTCATGCCATATCAAGCAGTCCCTCCCGACGACCCTGAATTTATTTGGCCCGAAGCATATACTGGAGATATCGAGCTGCTTATTGCATTACTGCGAGAATGTCCAAGTTATCAAATTGATAAGAATCATGGGCATTGTGGTTTACGTAATAAATTACTTCCTGCTCTGAGCTACATAAAAGATTGTATTGATGGTGGCATTGGCATTAAGTCCAAATTCTGGAAAACAGAAAGATCGAGTCAAACCTGGATCCCTAGCCCGTCGACAAATAATAGCAACAAGAAGGCATTTGTTGTAGGAGGCAAAGAAGTAGGAGACGACAAGCCAGAAAACTTTTTCGATTTTAAAAGCTTGAATAGAGAGGACCTTACGTCTGGCGGAAGATCACTCGGTGTAGACAAAGCAGCGAAAAAATTGTTTCTAGCCGACAAGTGGGATTGGATAAGGGAAGTAGAAACGGAAAAGGAGAAAGAGAGGATGTCAAAGTCTTCGTATTTTAGATTCTGAAGATCTAGACGCATTTACGACTAATAGGTATCTATACATAGAGAGTATCGGTTCGAGATAATGTATTTTGTGCCGTATTCCGAATGACAGTCGGCAATCTCATGGGCTGCGAGCTTTGGACATTATTATTCAGATGGGGTCATACTAAATGAGTTATATCATACGGCCAACCTTGTGGACACAATGCCAATATCTGGGGTAGATCTCCATTCAAGCCCCCAAGAAGGTTAAAATAATTTAGATACTAGTGCAAAAGCCTACCGCGAAAACCCAATTTTGAAACACCCTTTCCGTTTCACTAAAAGGCATGGCAGCAACGAATTGATCAATTAAAAAGGAGAACCTTGGAATGTTCTAGCCATAACAGAATAGATTAATTGAGCAATACTAATCTCACGAAAAAACAAGCTTTCTGACACCCATGCTACTTGAAGGATCTTAACCGAGCCCCCTCACTTCCCAAAGGATCTTTTACCGCTGCCTTCTTTTGCCCTTGGTAACTTGAGAGATTATTCGGTTCATTCCGGGAATAAAAGGTCTCGTCGTGATGGCTCTGTATGAACATGGAATAATTCGAGGTTTTTCTCCGCGTGGGGACTATGGATTGAGTCAAATGACCGAATTATTGATATTTAAGAGTGGTAAATCAAAAGATTCCTATGCTTTTCAATGGGACAGGTAGATGCTTGCAAGGCATCACAAACAAACATACAAGAATCCATATAGAAGGTTTCATGTATAAACGTTCGGATATTAAATCCGAATATTTTCCCCACTTTACCCCTTTAGCGATAAAACGTTGACTGCGATTCGATAATTATTCCAAGGTCCCCTGTTTAAACAAAACACATCAGATCACAAATTAACGACCTTGGTGACAGTCATTTAGTGATTCGCGTCATAATCACATAGTGTTCATCTGTTTACAGAATTTGAGCGAAACGCTGAGTCCCGAAAAAGAAAAGTGTCATGAAATTAAAGTACAGAGAGGGTCCGGAGCGTTGTTTACCATTAGGATAAGTTGTCAACTCTAAATGAGAGGGGGAATGAAGTTAATTAATCGATGAAGTGGAGCATCGTGAGATCTTATCTCTTTGACTTTCTGAATAAATACTTCCTCCTCCCGATTTAAGCTTCCCTTTTTCTCACTCTTCCTTACCACTCTCACTAAAGTCACTCATTCATTCATTTTTTCAGTCACTCTTTTTTTTCATTCTACGCTATGCGTTTCACAAACTTTGTTTTGGCAGCTGGCCTTACAGCAACCGCATTCGCAGCTCCGGTAGCTGTTAGAGATGAGGATGATAGCTGTGTTGCTGATTACGATGAGACCACTTCCGCTGCCGTTGTAGCTCAAACCACCCTTCCCTCTTCCTCCGCCGCTGTCGTTGCCGCCACTTCAGTTGCACCATCAAGCAGTGCCGTCAAGACCTCTGCCGCCGTCGTTGCTTCATCAGCCGCTAGTCCGGTTGTTGCTAGCTCTTCCGCCGTTTCGTCCGCTGCTGCAGTTGCTATCCCGGCCTCTTCCTCCCCAGCTGCCTCTTCCTCTCCAGCTGCCGCTTCCTCCAGCAAGGCTGCTGTTGCTGCCGCATCTAGCAGCGTAGCTGCCGGAAAGTTGCAATGGATCGGTGCCAGCGAGTCTGGAGCCGAGTTCGGTCAAACCAACCTCCCAGGTGTTGTTGAGAAGGATTACACCTTCCCAAACACTACCGCCATTCAAACTTTGATTGATGGTGGCATGAACATTTTCCGTGTTCCATTCCTTTTGGAGCGTATGGCCCAAAGCAGCATCACCGCTGACCTCGACGCCACTTACCTTGCTAGCTACAAGGAGGTCATCGATTACATTACCGCTGCTGGTGCAAGCGCAGTCATGGAAGCTCACAACTATGGACGTTATGACTCCGCCATCATCACTTCCACCTCCGACTTCGGTGGTTTCTGGGGTAAACTCGCTACCGAGTTCGCCGATAACTCCAAGGTCATCTTTGACTGCAACAACGAGTTCCACGACGAGCCCACCGCTACCATCTACGCTGAGCTTAATCAAGCTTGTGTTACCGCTATCCGTGGCGCTGGTGCAAAATCCCAATACATCTTTGTTGAGGGTAAGTCATTCTCCGAACTTCTCTTAATATCTGAAAACTTTTTATACTAACATGTTAATTAGGAACTTCTTACACTGGTGCCTGGACCTGGGTTTCATCTGGAAACTCCGTTTCCATGTTGAACATCACCGACCCTGAAGACAAGCTTGTCTACGAATTCCATCAATACCTCGACTCTGATGGATCCGGAACCTCTGCCACCTGTGTTAGCAGCACCATTGGTGCTGAGCGTATCGCCGATGCTACCGCATGGCTCAAGACCAACAACCTCAAGGGTGTCATTGGAGAATTTGCTGGTGGTGTCAACGCTGACTGTGAATCTGCTATCTCTGGCATGTTGGATGCTTTGGCTGCCGATAACGAGTACTGGTTGGGTGCTTTGTGGTGGGGTGCTGGCCCATGGTGGGGTGATTACATCTACGCTTTCGAGCCACCTACCGGTGCTGCTTACGCCCAATACTTCGACACTCTTGTCAAGTACGTCGCATAAACGTATGTAGATAAGATGTAGGAGTAGGGGTTGAAGGAAAAGCCTATGGCTTAGGAAGTGGTTTTTGATTCGTCTTGTATATATGTATAGCATGGGCCCTTGTGGAGGTGTTTGCTTAAAGGGGGTGTTTTAGTGGAAGACAAAAGAGGGCGGAATTAAATCTCAATCCGTTTCCAACTTTGAATATTTTGATCCAACTTTGTGATTCAATGTGTTTGTACAACTAAGTCTTTCATTATTATTGCTGCTGTAGTATGACCAAATGACAAGCAGATCACCGTTTATTTAATGTGTGTAATCTCATGTGGTATACCAGTGGGTGTAAGGTCTGACGGGACACTACAAAAAATTGACTTATAGATATCTTCTGATGTATCAAATTGTATATCTTAACAATTGTAACAATTGTTTATTAGAAATAGAACAATCAAAATATGAAATTTAGTATCAAACAATTCAAGAATGGGGATCAACCATCTACAACCACATGCGTTTGCCATGATACCTCACGTGGTATAATCATATGATGATCGATTTTCCATTTAGTCAAAGAGTAGAACACCATACATACATCCGCTTTAACAACTCCTTTACCCCGTAAGTAGACGTGATTTTTGTGCCTCATCAATTTCAGTCGAATGAGAAATTAGAAATTCAATCAAGATACCTCAAATTGAAGGATTGCAAGTTATAAGATAACATTTGTGTAAAAGTTCACGGCACCAAGAAAAAAGGTCACATTCTAGAATCACGTTATCAATTTGAGACTATAAAATAGAGTTCGCACTTCTTTTCGTTGCAGCTGTTCTTTCCCCGCCAATAAAATTTCTCAATCAAACAGGCGGCCCACTTTTGCTTTTGCTTTTGAACGACATTAACTTTCCATACCCAAGACATGGTCAAGCTACTCATAAAATCACCATGGTGTTGGTACAATGATTAGTTAAAGCATATAGCTATTCTCCGAAGTTCTTCATTCATTGAAGTCACTCACGAGCCAAGGCTAGGTGTTTTCTGAGCATCTTTGCGGAGGAGGAAAGACCACGCGATTTTGCAGATAAAGTCAAATTTCCTTTCTCGGATCTAGCTCGCTGCCCGTCTACTTCGTTGAGGCTCGTGGCACTTGATGCTATTCACGGCTTGTTTACTCAAGCAGTCAGGCCCTGAGTACGGCATGAAGCTTATAGAAACAGATTTTGATCAATGGTTTAGATCACTGATTGAATCTGGAGCTGGCATCTTACTCATGTGCCATTAACAAGTTCTTCGGGCTCGCTTTTGAGAATAGCCATCTAGAATTTCTGGGTGTTGAACCACAGGTGCTGATTTGGGTGCCACTTGTGTCTCTCTGTATTCTTTGCAGCTTTTCGTAGTATATGATTTACGGCAGTGCGAGCGACCACGTGGAAAGATTCTGCTTCCATTGTTGCTTTATTTTTCGTTTTGCTTTGACACGTTAGATCCATACAATCTAAATATTCTTGTATTGTTCAATTATTCAATCGAACTTTCCTGCACGATGCAGAGGTCTATACACTGACGAGTAAACTTCCCCAGTGTGATAAAACTAAATACTGGGGAGTTTTCGCTAAAAAAAATTCTGCATATTCAATACCTAACTATGCATTGTTTTTGGTGGTGCATGACCACTCTCTCGCAAACCACTCTCTTCACTAGTGCCGTAAGGTACCACCATTTGGTTGAGACTAATGACATGCATGATACAACCCTTTCAAATGCTATAGTTGGCTGATTGATCTTTAATTTTCTGACATCTTTTATGCGTGCAGTCAGTATTGTACAGTTTGAGTCTAAACATCTTAGCCTTCCCTATTAGATCAATATGACGTCAAATTCTAGCTGACTACATCATTTTTACAACACATTACACCTCTCTCTTACTACTTAATGATAGAACCCTTCTGGTAACAGTACCATTCAGCAATATTCTTCTACAAGAAACGCCTTTTTATCTACTATTGCCTCTCATAATTCGCTAAATCCTCTCATCTTTCTCTCGAGACATCCATCCAAACGCAAATAAGACAAACTTTTCTTCACTGCAAAATGCTGAACACTATGTCTGGCGGTTTCATAGTGCAAGCGGTCCATCGTACCCTTCAAGCTCGTCGTATGGAATTACAATTGGCGAAACTCGCTCTCCAAGAGGAAAATGACTGGGAGATTGCAGCAATTTCCATCCATCCATGGCTCAAATTTGATAGCAGTGATAAGATGTTAAATATTTTACTCGACTTTGCTTGTTTGAATTCTCCATCTCAGCACAACAAGCTCACCAAGACTCTAATCAAGATTCTTCCGAAATACTCGAGCCATGCTACCAATGTCCATATCGATATTGCATTTGGAATCCCCCACATGGATGTCATCAACAACAACACCAAAGCTGCTCGCCATTGGGCCATGGCCAACGTCGTCTATGAGCTTAACAAGTTCCGCCAACTTGACTCAGTTCGAGTCTCAATGTCTGTACAAAGGATTTACTGGGAACAGGTGAAGCCCGTCAGCGCCGTCTATGGGTTGGATCATCCCCACTGGACTTTCGCCATTATCGAGAATGGTGCGGAGAACGCAGTTGAAATTGATTCTGACATTGATTGTAAATTGAGCTCTCGCTTCAATGATGAGATGTACTGGTGATGGAAAATGGGGATTTTTGAGCGAATCGATTCATAGACTGCGGATATTTTGGGGTGAAAGATTCATCTGCCCGCTTCTTGCCATTGGCCTTTGCGATGATCATTCCATGTTAGGTGATAATGAGGAATTGGGTGGCAGCGACATGTTTTTTTTTAGTATATAATTTCTGAGGCTGGGCCATGAATCGCTTCTTGTATAATACCACTCAATTTAACAATACGGCTAGCAGCTACTGCATATAAAAAAAAGAGAAAAAATCCAATTCCTGTATTTTCTGTCAGCTTCTGGTTTTTTGTGTTACTTTGATCACCTTCGATAATTTTGATCTATTTCATATTTAATAACCCTTGTAGACCGTAAGGCCATAACATTCTGTATAATTATTGCGCCCAACCTTGTAGTATCTGTTCCAACAGATTTGTATCCAATATCCTCTTTTTAAAGCAAGAAAAGGGATATTAGCCTGATTAGAGGCGTTTTCAGTGTAGGCAATAGTATACTACAGCGAAACTGTGGTGTGTATTAGCATATTGATATTGCAGTTAGTACGTATAGAAAGGAGGTTATACCACTCTTGTACGTATTTATATATCTAAATAACACTAGCAATATACTGAAATACTGGAATCCAATATAATATCTTTATTCCTATCCAAATTAAACAATAAAATTCCATTCCTATATAAATTAGATTAGAAACAAGGGATTTCATTTCAATTTGAAGTAAGGAATGGAATTTTATTGTTTAATTTGAATAGGAATAAAGATATTATAATGAATTCCAATATTTTAATATATTGCTAATAGTATTAAATAATTAAATAATATTGAATACTTTTAGTGATATTGAATTCTGTACCACATACGTACGTATTTCGAAAAAATTCGATACGCATCACTAAACTAACCCGTATACGAAATGCAGGAAATACTATTGCCTACACTGGGCGTTTTGATGCTATGCACAGGCAAAAGCACTGGTTCTCTAGTAAAGCGATTGACATTCCCAGTTGGTTGCAACACTTGTGTTTGCAGTACCGACGTACTTCGCCTGTTGAGGGTACATACAGATTGGTCGTTGGTTGGTGACATAATCCAAAGTAGCTTCATCATCCCATCTACTTGCAATAACTTAAGTCGGTGCGGTGTCATGTTTGACCCAGTCGATCAAGACAAGCAATACATCATGTTGAGCATTATTGAATCCAAGCTTACTATGGATCCAATAACCGTCGATCTCGAAGTGAGGGAAGATGAACATCTGATTACCGATGGTCGAAAACAAGAGTTATGCTTCTATTGTGACTTTTCCATGATTCTAGGATAGTATATAGCCCTTTCAAAGAACTTTTTGATAGATTCGGATCTCTTGAGTAGCAGTGGACGGTTAAAATCATATAACGGAGGAAATCATTTTAAGATGGGAGACTACTGTCTCCAAATTTATGATTCTTCACATACATACTCCATTTATTCTTCTAAATTCACTGAGCTAGGAATAATTTTCCTGATTCCCTTATATATTTTGAGTCTCAATCTAGATACTGATTATATAATGCTATACCTAACATCTCTGTTTATCGACCGTAGTGCTTATCCAGTCTCGCCAGTACAATCAGTTCTCGAGAGAATCATGTACGGCAATGAAGTACGAAATGTACATGTATTTTGTCTTAGCGTCTTCGTCGGGAATCGTAAATAGGTTGGAGAGATCCTGAGATTTCCTCCTCCATTCTTCCTTTCGTTACACTACTTTCAATAGTACCTTCAATAATACCTTCAACAATACTTTCAGAGCTCATTATCACAACTTTCCACAATCTTCAGAATTAAACTGCGACCTATTTCAAAATCTACATCATTCAAAATGGCCAACCACAAGGGACCAAAATCAAACGCCAACCGCCGCAACAGAGCCACTCACCGTGCTGATCGTGTTGCTGATATTCCTGCACATGATATGGTACAATATGCGCTTACCAATGCAGCTCTCACTATTAATCTCGATTTTGTGACTGCCAGATCGCCTGGAGAAGAGCAGGACGAAATTGAATCTTTGCTCGAGATCACCCCAAGATATGGCAACGATACAAACATCATTCATTTGAAGATGACTTCCAAGGCTCCTGAAGAAGATATCCAGTGTATCGATAGACGTGATATTCTGGCTCAAGTTGTTGAAAAGATCAACAATCTCCCTCATATCAAGGAGATCTCTTTCGTCATTGCGGTTGATCGATTCAACTGGAAGCAAATTGACACTGCATCTTCCATCTATCGTCTCAAGTTCGTCGATTGGGCTTTTGAATTGAAGATCAAAGATGGAGAGACGCAAAAGGTTCTTTCAGATTCTCGAGTTGATCGCGAACTACGAGCTGTAGAGAGAAAGCTACAACATCAGGCGATGTAGATTCGGAAGGGAAGGACAGACGGTGACGGAAAGGGGCTACAGACCGGAGCGGAGGGAGTGAACAGTAACCAGTCATAGTGTTTTGGGAAGCGAGAAAGTCTACACAAGATCAAATTCTCCACGAACAGAACAGAACGTATTCCGCCGAAGTGCTATCATATGGGGGTCGATTTTTTTTGGTTTTCAGGGTTTTTATGGTGTATGTTTGGCTTTACGCAGGATGAAGGGGCTTTAGCGAGGCGAGTGCTAGTACCATGGTTTTTCATTGACTTATTTCATCATTCGATAACAGAGGATCGCATGTATGAGGCAGCTACTGAGGCAATAATTCCCAGTTACATAACAATGATATATGTCTTCTGCCTTTTATCAAGTGCTTTGTGAAAATAAAAACTTCAGTGATCCATCTTGACTGCCATTGTGACCAACATAATCATTTACTTCTTCACATATTCTTTTTTTGTACTCATCGCCAACTTTGGTGGTATTTCCATTCCTGAAGCTGTGTATAAACAATGAGAAACATCAGAAAATTTGCACAATTTACATGGAAATGAATTACCACTTTAAGTTTCAAAGCGGCAGTATCTCCCAGTAAGATCTCGAGAGTTCCGTTGCAGTGACAAAAAGACTTGCATATTGTACAATTCTCTCCGAATAACCACACCAAAAAATGGATATCATTATCTTTGTGTTATCCAAGCTGTCATTTTCATTCTCTCCTTATCTCCCAGCTACGTAGAAAGACGAGCAAAAAGAGATCTCTACAAGACCATTCATCCCACCAAGATCAACTTCCCTTCCTCTAAATCCTAATCCGAGTCCGTATTCCTATTATAAAAACCCTCTCTATCGCTATCACTATCAGTCGAGCTTCCATCCGAACAATGACTAGCAATCAGTTCCGCGTACCAATCCGAATTCATATCCACTGTTTCTTGACAATATCCTCTCACATAGTACTCGAACGTAGTCTGCCACCTAAGATTGCGAAACTCAAGAGCACAAGAAATCTGCGAAGTATTGCGTTCGCGCAACCAGAATATAACATCGCTTCTACATAAATTGAATTCGTCGTTGAGAATTTCGATTATTTCGGAAAGATCTTCCTCGACTCTTCTGAGTCCAGTATTGTCGTTATCTGGTTCGGGGAAGCAGATGTTGAATACGATTTCTCGGGTTGTAGGGGCGTACTGGGAAATATGGTGTTTGACGTCAGAGTCCTCGTAGTTGTAGTTGATTGTTAAAGTCCCATGATGGTATGAAAGTTCAGAGTGCCAAGTAATACCTGAAGCCATTTGGGCGTTTTTGGATCGTCTCCTTGGTTTTAGGAATTTTGAGTGTTCTTCATTTGAAGGTAAGCTTTTGCTGATGAGATGCAAGTTATTGCGAATGTGCCGGGGTTATATATCTTCCAAGAAATGTATCAGGCTATGGAAACATGAAGACTATTAGAGATGCTAATGAGATGGTCGTAGAATGTGCACTCGAAGGATATCTTTGTGCCCAAGGAACTCACTCACAACTTGAATCATCGAAGAGACTAGTTTAGTTGTTCTCTCAAGACACTGCTTGACACAGAAATGTCTAGACAGGTCTCAAGATTCGAATCTCTACAACTCTATGAAGTTTCACCTGACAATGACAATAGTGTCTTTAAAATATCTCATACTTCGCTACAAGACAAAGAAATGGTAATAAAATTGTTTTTTAGCGACTAGATTTCATAGCTCGAAGGAAAATACAGGGTTATTTGAGAAGGGTGTGCAAAAGTTGAGATTTGAAAGTATAGCTTTCGCAGACATGATTGAATTCACTATAAATACCTAGCTAATATATTCCTCCATCATTTTCAAGAGGAACCTCCATCTACTTACCAGACAAGTGACTGTTAACAAATTCTATGTCATTCAAACATTCTAGTATTATTGTGGTGCTCGAGTCGAGTGTAGAACGGTGAGCCAGGGCCGATAGAAATATAATTTCCATGTCTACCACGTTTTTATCTCATGCTCCACTGCTGGCAACGGCTACGCAAGTCAGAAAACGGAGCGACACAAGCGATCCGGCTGAAGTCTTCGGTGTCGAGGCTCAAACTAATTTCTAGAGTTCTCAACTGACGAAACCCTCTAAGGACTCGAACAGCATCTGCAATACGGCGCAAATTCTCAGTCTGATTAAGGGGTCCGTAATCAACGGTATATGTGATTCCAAAAGTTTGCACATTGCAGCGAAATCTATTTTGTGGTTCGGGGAATTGGATTTTGACGATGACTTTTTCGGTGAAGGTGGCATATTGAGTTAATGTATACTCCAAGGTCTCTCCCTCATTTTCTATGTGGCCTAGATTGAAGTCGTAGTTGATTGTTAAAGATCTGTTATTGCGATTGTAGCTGAGCTCGCGGTGACGTGGGATGTCGCGTATGTCAGTCATGTTTGGCTGGACTCTTGATAGATGATGGAAGTCGTTTCTGTGTGATGGTGATACTATGTCAGCACCCTCGGGGAAAGTGTCAGTATTAAGTACTTGCCAATGTAGCAAGGTTTGCAGATCGGGATATCAGAAGAAAACGCCAAAATGAACCACCAGAGAATGCTCTTGAATTTGAAGCTGAATTCATTATTGATTCGAGACGGGGGTAGACTACAAGTCGAATTTGTAGAAATCTTTCGAGAACGCCCTGCCCGAGAAAAGACTTGTTGTCAGAATGTCTTAGACCTCAACAAAGAGCACGCATTCAGCGTGAATCAAATTGATGCTTCTCGCAAGTTTACTACTGTTTTCCGCAAATTCTTATCAATTAAGAAAATCTTCATAGAATAGCGAAGTGAGTTTCTTCCGCATCACGATGCGAAAACGCAAGAACAAACTCAATCAAGCCGATCGCTTGAGGCGAGTTACTGCGCACATCAAACCACATAAGGGCTTGAAAATTGTAGATGAATTTTTCCTTCTCATAACCATCAACAACGATTGGCAAGTGCAGACTCAACGCAGAAGTAACAAGGCCCTCTTAGCACGACTCCCTGAATATCTACAACATGCCAGGAGAGTCCGCATCGAGATGTTATGCCGAGACCCGGAAGACAGACGAGCGCACGAAGATACCGTTCGGAAGACCGAACTATTGACCAACATAAGGAACTTGTTGAATGAATACGCCGATATCGACAGCGTAGAGGTAACCTTTTACATGAAGAGAGAGGAAGACTTCGACCCATGCATTCCCCAGCTTCAGGCTGTCATTCTTCTTTACACTCTGAGTTTCAAGGAATGGACTCTCTACTGCGATTGAAGAATGGGAGCAAAGATCATCAAAGTGAAGCGCGATTCTGAACTGGAAAGAAAGATTACCACCCATCCATGGTTAAATTTGCGGCACGGTAGCCTTTTAGTCATCAAAATCGACCACACCAAGAAGCACAGACTGCGCAAGGAAATCAAGTATGTGGATGAGCGCGAGGAATTGCATGAATCATTCTTGAAAATTCTACCTCTCTTCTTGAGCAAAGCAGCCACAATCCGTATTGAAGTTACACCATTGGAGCGCAAACACTTGTTGGTACGCATGTTCCAGAACCGCAAAATGATGATTGAGAAAATGGTTCTAATTTTCAATGGAAATCGGAAAGTCAAGAAGGCAAGGTTGTCTTTCGGGAACGTAAACCCAATTTCTCAAAATTTGCAAGTTGTTTCCATGATTTAAAGTCGGCTTGAGGACTTTTTATCGTTCCTGATAGGGAAAATCGAAGAGGGATATCACTACCCGCGCTCGTTGCGCGCAGAATTCGGTAACTTTGTACACACTCAAATTCCGGTACTTCATCAGAGCTTGACCGGCTCACAAATCTTTGAGATACCCTTCCTTTTATTATGCAGGTGAATCCTAATGGTATTATTGCAGTTTCCCGCCGGGGAAAAATCGCTAATCGCTCATATCTGCTTCCATTCGTTCATTAGGCGTAGGATCTTAGTTAGCATATCTAGTTCCGAATGCAAATATGAATTAGATCCCTTCAATCTAATGATATCAACCATTTGTTGCGATTGTAATGATTTCTCTGTTTCAAAAATCTGCAAGAATGTGTCCTTGCACCGAGTATTGCGTATCGGATATTCAACTCAAGACTTGATGAGCTGAAACCGTTATCTTGCTGCAAATCACTCTTCATGTTATTGAGCGAATCTGTGGTGCAGTGCTTTAGATAGATTTCGCGCTTCTTGTTTTAAGACTCAATCCAGATCTCCAATCCAAAAAACTCTATTGGGTTGTTTATGATTTAGTCCATTGATTGATTTGAATGATTTGAAAGATTCATATGAAGTAATATACCGAGATTCAACTGCATCTACAAATGATTTTAGAATAGTCGTGCGAAATTTGAAGAAAAATAAAAGTATCCGGCTGGAACTCGTGAAATAGCACGAGCTATACTCAGACCTTGAGATCCCATCTTGACAAGGGAAATTCTGGTAGCTACTGTAAAGTTTTTACCTTATACGAGAAACTACAATGATTTATAAGGAATATTTGTATTCAAGTACCCCATCATACTCTCCTGTGACTACTAGCTATATACCAAAAATGAGGTCAACAACCAAGTCACCAACACATTATTGATCCCACCTTCTAACACCTATTCCGAATCCGATGCCATCCATATTACACCCTCATCGCTATCTTCGGGATAATAGTTACTATAATTTGCCCTCCCATGTATACATTCAAGCTCTTCAAGCCAGCCCGAATCCATATCAACTGTATCTGACCACTCACCCTCAACAAAGTAAGTCAGCTCGCATCCTCTGAGACGAAGTCTTTGAAAGGCACGAGCACTTGAGAGCTGATTTACATCGATTCTATGGAGGAAGAATGTTGCTTCGAATTGGGACACGTTTGTGAATTCGTTGTTGATGACGGTGACGATATCCTCGATTTCTCCTGTTACTCTCGAAAGATCAGAGTCGTTGGGGTTGGGGGGTGGGAATGTGATTTTGAAGTGTATGGTTCGGACGCTCGAGGCATATTTTGAAAGGTCACTCACAGCTGTGGAATTTCTATAGTCGAATTTGATTGTGAGCTTACCATTGTCATCGTACTGAAGTTCCGGACGATGCATTGTGTTCTAGTCTCTTTGGTTTTTGTTGCAAAGGTACGGTTTTAGTTCGAGGATGAAGTTTATTGCTGTAAGAGTTCAAAGGGAGCTTTTACAGTGCTATATATATCATTGTTTGTTGAATCAATGGAAACATCAGGACTACTAGAGTGCTATCCAGGAAGAATGAAGTTTCAGATGTTAAATATTTTGAAACATTTCCTGAGAGTCTTTGTACAGCAACAGGCCATTGCGGGAATCTTATAAATATACTCGGGTGATTAAAGAGTTTGGAAGATCACCCAAGAGAACTATTTCTTGGGCTCTGCTCAACTACCTATCTGCATACACTGTGTTGAAAGATCTGGGGTCTGATTCTATAATAGTGATTGTGTGACTGTATTCAATTTCGATCCATCACTACCTATATGGAAACAATTTCAAGCAAGGGACTACAACTTATTCAAATTCAAGCTAGAAGTGATAGGTGGAGCTGTGTAGAAATTTCTCGCAATCTTGAACGGGGAATTCGGTACTGGAAAACTCAGTTGGTTGGACTAGAACAATCTATTGGGCGGTAGTACTCTCGATCTACCTGACACATTTGTTTTTGCTATAATTCTTTGTGAGATAATTTATTACTTGGTGTTTTAAGAAATTCCGAAACACCGTCTTCTTTTCAACATCACCATTTGTGCTGCTCCGATATTCTGTACCAAAATCATCGACAAACTTGAGGTATTTTTGATTTGGGAAAGTTGCAAGTGAAAGAGCCCCCGCAATTGGAAAAACACCACAATGTCACAACAGAGAGGCACTCCTCAAACCCCGGTGCATGAGGATTTGTCAGTTTCGGACGGAGACGCCCTCGTCATAACCATCGACTACAAAAGACCAGCTAGAGAGCAAAGTGAAAGAACTGGTTCCAGTTCTCTGCTTGAGCACCTCCCAGTAGTCTCGGGGTGCGTGAGAAAAATACAGATCAAAATAGTTTGCCGGATTGCTTATTACCCAGGAGTCCATGGGCGTACAAATCGCCCAAACAAAAATAGACTATGGAGAGGACACTGACCACGCAACCCAGCTTTTGACGAAGATGAGAGGTATCTTCGATAAATTCAATATTGAAGAGCTAGACGTTGAGTTGCACTTGCCTTGGTATAATCATCGTCAACTTCATGCTGCGGTTCCACTCGTTGACCTAGAATTCTCGGAATGGACGCTACATTACATCTCGGGAGTGATTACCAATGGTCAATCTATACAGGTGAAGCAAAATGGCAATAATATCATTTTACATGACTGGTTGGACTTTGACGAGAACAAAAATTTGGCTATATTGCTCAACAGTCATCCGAGTCCTGGCATCATCGAAAGAGAGAGAAGATTCATCAGATTGCTCCCACAGTATGTGAAATATGCAAAGCATATCATCATACACATTCTACCAAAATCTGGGGAGCGAGCATTGAGAGATAGTGGGTACACGGATTTTAAACGGCTTGCTAGGAACGCGATTAAGATAATCGACGAATGTTATGGTGTTGGTAGTGTCAAGATATGTGTCAAGAACCTCCAATCTACGTATCGTTGTTTCAGTCGTGCGGCTTGCTTCTGCGACTTCAAATCCACCGAATGGAAGTTTTCCGGAATCTCGAAATCGCTTGAGAAGCAAATCAAATACCTTTACGACAAAGGGGTTTGCCACATGAATAAGTGGACTATTACTGAAGAGTGTGTGCTATGATTGATCTGGGCTTTGTATTATTGCACTGGTAATTTTGAGTGGTGTGATGAGAATAAGCACGCGTAGGAAGGTAGTGAAAGAGGCGAGAGAGGTTGAGATGAAGGTCCAAGGAGAAGAATGAAATTTGTGTTTTCCGGAAAGGTGGTTTTAATGAATATTTTAAATACACGCCATTTAAATCTCGCTTGAGTCGGAAAATCACTAAATTCACACCACATGTATGATCAAAGAAACCTTGAACTTCACATGTCAAAACACATCAATGCTTTGTCGAGAGAGCAACATCATAGAACATGCATATGGCAAGTGAAACAACAGCAATTGCCGTTCCAGTAGAGCTTCTTCCCATCCAGCGCATGTGAAAGATTGCTTGCCTCTTGCTTACCTTTTCACTAATCCGTGCGTGACCTTCAGTTAACCTTACAATGTATGTCAGAAAATCTTAAGTTCTGCTTTCGGCTGAGAGCTCTGAGAGTTCCGAGACCAACCTTGCGAAAGCATGTGAGTGCGAAATCGCCGTTAACGTCCATGATTGGTTGAATTCCTACCGAGGCATCCTCAATATCACTATCCATCGATCTCCAACTCCCGACGTGCATTCTTCTTTCCTCCTTCCCATATAACATCTTTTTTTATTCCAACATCTCCCATTGCACATAACGCAATTTTGATCACCCAATACATTGATACATTGCCAAAATGTCAGCTGGTGAGTGGCTATCGCAAGTAAAGGACTGCAAACAAAGCTCACAGTGTACATAGCACAAAAACGTCTTGGGCAAGTTTCCGGCCATTTGGCTGGATCACAAAGCACTATTGCACCCACAGAGGGTGATAGTGGCCGCGCGAAGCTCTTGGAAAAGCATCCAGATGATGTAAGAATAACTATTCATTCCAAATGATACCTCTCGGCCAAGTGCTAACATTCTCGATTCTAGATCGTCGTAACAGCTTGTCTGCGAACCGCATTTACAAAGGGTGGCAAAGGAGGCTTCAAAGATACAGCAGCTGCAGATTTACTTGTCGGCGCATTTAAATCTCTCATTGAGCGTTCAAAAATCGACCCAGGGCTAGTTGAAGACATCGCTGTTGGGTCGGTGCTTCCTCCTGGAGGTGGAGCTACTGAATTCCGAGCCGCCGCTTTGGCTGCAGGATTTCCTGTATCTGCAGCAGTCAAGAGTCTGAATAGACAATGTTCATCTGGTTTACAAGCATGCGTGGATATCGCAAATGCCATCAAGTCCGGCATGATTGATATCGGTGTTGGTGCAGGTGTCGAGAGCATGAGTTTGCAATATGGGTAAGGGTCTCTTCTCTATTTCTCTGCATAGCAAAAAGCTAACGTTAAATTTGCAGACCTGGTGCAGTAACAGAATTCTCTGAACTCCTCGAGTCCCACCCAGAATCTGCGAACTGCAAAGTGCCCATGGGCGTTCTTTCCGAGAACATGGCCAAAGACAAGGGAATTCCACGTTCCCTGCAAGACGCATTTGCGGCTTCATCATACCAAAAGGCACTCAAGGCTCAGCAAGAGGGTCTCTTTGATGAGGAAATCGCTCCTTTGACTGTCAAATGGGAAGACCCAAAAACTGGCGAGACAAAGAACATCACTGTTGCCAAGGATGATGGTGTTCGAACAGGTATCACCGCTGAGAGCTTAGGTAAAATTAAGCCTGCTTTTGCAAAGGACGGTAGTATTCACGCTGGGAATGCTTCTCAAATTTCAGATGGAGCTGCCGCAGTTCTTTTGATGAAGCGTTCCACAGCCGAGAAACTCGGTCAAACTATCCTTGGTAAATACGTTGCCGCATCTATTGCAGGTGTGGCTCCATTACTTATGGGTATTGGTCCTTGGGCCGCCATTCCAAAAGTCTTCGAGAAGACCGGCATCAACAAGGATGATGTAGATATTTTCGAGATCAATGAGGCATTCGCAAGTCAATGTCTTTGGTGCGCAAATGAGTTAGGGCTTGACCAGAAGAAGATCAATCCAAAGGGTGGTGCGATTGCTTTTGGACATCCTCTCGGATGTACCGGAGCTAGACAGGTCAGCACATTATTATATGAGTTGAGAAGGACGAATCAAAAAGTTGGCGTAACTAGCATGTGTGTGGGTACTGGTATGGGTATGGCTGCTGTTTGGGTCGCCGAGTAAAGATTTGAGCGGTATATTTAAGATATTGGGATTCAGGGCAAGTAACAGTCTCGCGGAAAGATTACGGCGCATGGTTGTACGAATATAGCAGTGTGGCATTGGAAATTGAATGCATAGAATGAAATTTATACAAAATTGAAATTCAATCCAGACTGGGTAGAAACCACTTATCGGCAATCAGTCTAGAGACTTGTTTTGCTAAATATCCCACAATCTTTGACATTGAGCCATTTGAGAAAACGCTCAGTTGGCTATCACTATCGATCTCAGGAAATCCTTGCCTATTTGCTACTGTCTGACATTTTGCTTGATCTTTCGAGCTGGAATGGCTCACTCGTATCCGCAAAAGTAGGTAAAGATTCTTAGCTGGGTTGAGAGAAGAGATCTAGATTTGATAGATAGATCGCTTAACGTCGTAATAGATTTCTGTCATTGGGTTGTATCAAGCGAATATTTGGGCTTACTGTTTTTGGCCGCTGCGTCATTCTGGTGTGAGCGTGCATCAGGCACTGGAGTCTTTCATCTTTTATAGGGAGTCAGAGGTTCAAATTGGTTCAGCTAGTGAAAAACTTCCATGTCTACGTATTTCGACAGCCAAAAATTTCAGTTCACGTGTAGTCTCTATAACTTCAAGCCCTGTTCTCAGGAAGCAGATTCAAAGCACTTCATTCATAATGTATCTGAACTCATTTGTTACACTTCAAATCGATGTACTCTTGTCGACTTGCAATATCTCATTGCAACTGATCTTCTGGGTTAGCGAGATACAGTGAATAAGAAGCCAACACTTATTCACACGCAAACCTCGTGTACGGTTACTATGGAACGATATTTTTGAGGCAAGTCTACGGTTTTTGATCTGCGTCTGTGGTATATTGATTTGATATAAGGAGTTCTCTGTTGAAGTTCGCTCCATCTATTTAACATCTAATTCCATGTAGATTCTCATCTGCATATACATCTCAACAATCGTCATCCGAGTTAATTTTCAAAGTACTCACCAGAGAACACCGGAAAATTCAAAATACAGGAAAGCTCGCTATCCCGCTAACGCCAGTCATGGAAAATGACATGTACAAAATAACATCAACCACCGGTATTGGTATTGGCTATCTAAAATGCATCTTCGAGACACCGAAAAACAGTCAACCCAAAATGGAATATCGAAACAGAAAGATCGAGAGAAATCCACTTGCATCTTTGATTGCTATATCTATCTTCTGCCTCATCATAATCACCACATTCCTCTATCAACTACAAAACTATCTCCTTAACCCCCAGCCCTTCCAACCAAAAACCACTCACCCCAACACCCAAGACTCCAGCCCCAACAAGCTCATAAACCCAAACCCTCTCGCTCCCCATGAATATCTTGAGCCCCCTCAAGCAACTCAACAAGAAGTAATCAATTACTTCAATCGCCGTTTCCAAGGAATCCCAGATCTACAGCATCTAAGAAGACAAGTTCGAGAGAACATGGATGCGATATTCGCGGGTGCGATGGTGCCCTGGCCGGAAATTATGCAGAAGGGGTTTGGATATACGACAATGGCGGAGATTGATCGAGAGTTGGGATTGCAGAGACGAGGGAGAGGTGCGGCGCAAGATGGGAATGCGAATGGAGCGTTTCCTCGTGATGGAGGTGATACTCCGGGGTGGATGTTAGCGCTTTTCGAACGTGGATATGGATATGGAAATGGAAATGCAGATGTAGACGCATCTACATCCAAAAAGAAAGAAGAGGAAAAATCCACATGTCCGATTTGTATGGATGAACTCCCTACGAGAGCCGCGATTGCGAAACCGTGTAAACATCGATTTTGCACGACGTGTTTAGAGGATTGGATGGTGCATTTGAGGGGGATGGAGAGGGGAAAGGGAAAGGGGAAGGGGAAGGGAGAGGGACAGAAAATTAGATGTCCGGTTTGTGGAGTGCAGATTAAGAGGGTGGTGAGAGGGGGTGGGTTGATGGATAGGGTTGATCGGGCTTTGAAGAGAAGAGGGTCGGTTGAGGGGGGTTTGAGGGGGAGTGAGAGATAGGATGGGGGGTCGAGTCACGGGAAAGATTGGTGGTACACTCAAGACCTGTGTATCACGTTGTATTACAATGCATATACATCCACAAGTAACTAAATTGAATAATACAATTCGCACTTCTACAACTATCACACGTATGGTACTTATTATTCCATATTATTCCAGATTCTACATACCTATAGAGTTGATAATCATTCCTTCTCACAGCAAATCATCGAGATACTTAATTCCGGTGTGTAAGATTCGTTATACACAGTTTAGAATTATATAACTGTGAGTAGATAGTGACATGATGCGTCATCGTTTTGGACATTGTGAAATTTAGCGAACAGCTTTTGGGATTCGTATACTAGGTATGGTTATCCACGAGATGAGATGAAAATGTTTATCCTATAATGTTTCATTCTATTCCAAAGTAATTAGTGACACTTGAAAGTATTCCAACTTTGGATTGAATATCCCTATAGCGGTTATCAGAGGTAGCTAACTGCTAACCAAATTCTTCATGGGTAACTCATAAATAGGCGATCACGAATTATCAGTCAAGTAGGTATACACTCCAACCTCTAGTTTTAGCTTTTCGATCATATTTATCTAGCCGTGTAGATACCCATTGGATAGATAGATAGATAAATAGATACTCCAAACACATTGCGCTTTCGAGCATGGATTTGTCTATAGACGACTGTAAGATTGATTTATATATATATATATATACCGGGGTACATACCACTGTATTGAATAACGATGCAAATCTCGCAATCCCTCCCTCGCTGAGAAATTGAAAAATTCACAAAAGAGAGAGGGGTACAATGAATCAGACACTATGAAACAATAAAATATATTAATATCAACTTAATTGATGAACATAAAGTACTTTAGTCCACCTACCTAGGTATCATGATTATAAACATTCTTGATCAATATTGACTGTCTAATACCCAAAAGTATGGGAAGCTAGGTAGGTAGTACGATTTATAAGAACCATGGAAGTGCTAGCACCTCGCTTGCTAATACAGTGGCAGTGGCCTCTATGATCATATGATCGATATGGTGACGGAATAGTTCTGATTGAGTGAATCTTTGCAGAAAGAACACTGGCTGAGTGGTGAATCATGCATTCATTGATATTCAAGAATCTTTATTATTACCGTGATCTCTATATCTTTAAGCCCAATACAAAGTAAAAAGAAATTACGTGGGTGAAGATCGAGTTTTTATACTGCTGGGTCTTATTTGTACGTATTTCATAGACAGATCCGAGATAAGGCAATCCAAGGGTTTGTATTTAGGTATCGTTCCTGCAACGTCGAATATTCAAACGATTTCAGAAATCAACATCAAGACTATTGATCTTCACAAAAGAGAACTATCAACTCAAAATGGATAACCAACAAGAACAAAACAATAGCACTCCACCGAACACCCCTCCCGGGAACCATATCATCCGTCAACGCCGCGAGAATCGTCTAGCAGCCGCACGAGGAGATGCTCTCCCCTTCCCAAATATATCATACCCCCTCGGAGAAGAAGAAGAAGATAACGAGAACCCCCCCAACATCGCACCTCCACCAGCCAATCTCCCCCCCACCCCCCTCTTCATCGGACCCATCGCCAGCCAAAATCTCCGTATTTTCCCACACACCTTCAATCTCCTCATGCACTACGATCAGGCACCGCATCTACCCGTTCCCGCATTACACTTCCGGAATCGCATCGTATCTCTCCTCAACGGTGTTGAAGTTCCCTGGCCCATGCACGACGAGCTCCCACCGGATCTCCTCCCTCGTTTCTTCCCGGATCTGGAACTTTCCGCAGTACGAGAAATACAAGCAGTAATCTGGCGTGCGATGCTCCAGCGATCGAGAGTCATTACCCGGACCAACGCTCCAAATACACCATCATGGATTCTCGGGCTCTTTCCCGATGAGTCCCCGCTGGGACAGCGCGATGCGAATGGGGTGCCGATTTGTCCTATTTGTATGCAGGAGTTGCCGGCGCGGGTATCGATTGTGAGACCGTGTGAGCATCGGTTTTGTCCGGGGTGCTTGGAGGAGTGGATTCCGCATGCGAATTTGATGAACCCGCCGGCGAAATGTCCGGTTTGTTTTGTGGAGATTAGAGTGATTGGGAATAATGGGGAGGTGGGACATAGGGTGGGAGAGTTTTTGGGGTGGAATTTTGAGGGGGAGGGGCCGAGGGCGTGATATTTCATGAGGGGGTGGATGGGATGTGTGCTTGGGATTGAGAAGAGCTGATTGGATAAATTTGGAGATGATAGGGATTCGGATATCGGGTTGGGAAAATGCTGGATAGGGTGAGGGTTTGAGAAGGAGATAGCACCCTAAGTACATACTTCCGAGTCAGAAGACCAAAATCGTGACATACTATACCATCTAATCATTGAGTATCCGGCGGTAATTCTTCCCTAATTCTCTTTACACCTCGTCTATTCGTCGTCGCAACCCCCACAAAACCTACCACCCAATCTCTCACCCGCTTAACCTTCGCCATCTGTACATCTATCTCCTTCCTCTCCAAATCTCTCTTCCCATAACATCCTCCCACATCACTCCTATCAATTTTCTCCCTATACATTAACCAAGCCTTCGTCATATCCTTCCTCAAACTCTGTCCATGAACTTTGTTTCTAAAGCTTCCCAACGCTACATTTTTCATCAACACGATATCCTGAACCCTCAGATTTTCTAATACTTCTTTGACTTCTTCTTTGCCCTTTCCTGATAACCAGAAATTGATCGAAAACCCACTTTTCGTTTCATCACCAACTAATATTTCAAAAAGCGATACATTTCCTCCTTGTCTCGTAGATATTGCTCTCGGTTCTGAAATTGAAATAATACCCACAATCAGATTGACTGTCATAGTTTGGGGGACTATTGAAGTTAAATGTTGTGCATGTGGCATATCTTTTAGATTTGTCAAGTAACCTGCCACCGGCACTTGTGGATTTTCCCCAGATTGTGGGAATATAGATTGAGAATCATATCCAGATGTAGAATATGATGTAGAATCAAACTCCGAGGATGTTATTTGAGACGAGGGGATATCGTGGATAGCATAGGAATGTTCGTAGAATTGAGAGAGTACCCCATCTACCTCTTGATGATCATCATTTTCATCATTAAGAGAAATGTATGAATTCAAATTAGACAGTGATTGTGAATATCCCTGGGATTGAGAGAGAAAAGTTGTAGCTGAGAAGAAATCTGAGGCATGACCACCATACAACGGTTGGAAAGCATGATCTTGAGATGCTCCCGTGGTGAGATGTTTTCGTTCAAGAGGAAGTTCACGCCATTCTGGGTTCTGAGCGATGGAGAATTCCAAGACACTCGTGTTGTTATTCCGTGGTGCGGAGTTCGGGTATGGATGAGGGAGATGGAGGAATTGAATGAAGGGATCGGTGAAGTCACTGTGAAGTTTTGATTCGTCCCAGCTAAGTGAGTGATATGTAGGTGCTCCCGTGAGAAATATAATCTTGGGCGGCATGATTAGATTGGGTGGTGGTGTGGCCAATCATGTGAAATGGATATTGCGGATTTATTTCATTTACATCCATCGGTGGACTTTCGGGACCGAAGAAGTTGGCGTTGAAGAATTGTTATGGCCGCTTGCTGATTAGATGTATGAAGAGTGCTTGTTAGACAGATCCTTGATACGAAGCTCGCGGACATAAGAAAATCACCGACGGTGAATTAATATTCCTAAGCTTCAAAGTGGTAAGGTAATCATGTCAGACAGTAAGAATGAGAAATAAATATATTGAACGCTTTTCTTTTCTTGTCTTTTCCTTCCATCTTCCGCAATCCTAATATCGAATATTGAATATCAGATCGAATACAATTCCTACGGCCATAGATCTTATTCGGAGGTTCTTTCACGTATTATACCATAATCCATCAGATAAAAGCCAAAGCGGATCTGATAAGAGATTCCACGTTGCTCGGGCACTATTCCGTACATTCACCGGAATATGATGATTAGCTTGCAACCAATTATCGTACAGCATTGTTAGTATTGGACCCCACCAAAATGTCGAGGATTGGAAATAAAACCAGCCATGATGGCACAAGAGTTGCGACTAATCCCCCGCGCAAGAAGACCAAAAATATGGCTTCCACTTTCAAATCCCTATTAAATTCTGCCAAGCAAACGATTTCGGGTCAATCCACCCCAATTCCTGGAACGCCATCAGAAAATACTCCTATCGAGAAAATATTCCCTAAAGTTGACCCGGCGGTGGATGGAGATGATTGTGATCATGACTGCGAATCGTGTCATGTAAAGTATCCAAAAGGCTTCAAGATAGATGAGGATGATGAGCTATATGGTCATGTCAAAGGGTGGAGTACACATATTCTAGTTGCGACAGGCAAATCAGATTGGGTGAGAGATGTCGCAGATGAGAAGGGAAGTGTAATGCAAGCAATCGACCATGGTTCTGTTAAACCAAGTAATGGGGTAGGTCGTCTTCCTCCTGCCAAAACCCTATATCGTTGAGCTTTGAAACATGCTGATGATCCATCGTAGAAGCTTATGCTCTCCGCGTCCAACATACCCACACCTTCACATTCGACAGATTATTCGCAGCCTACGACGGTACTTCTATTACCTGCATTCATCGTAATTGACAACGTTACTCCACAATCGGTGCCAACTCTGATTACAGAGTTCATTGACAAAGCCCCTACCAATATGACACCTCTTGGACCCATTTCGATACCCCAGTCCCTCCCCGATCCTCTTCCATCCGCAGCACAACTCACATCACGTCCATCACCCCATCGAGCACTTATCCTTCTCTGTTCGCAGAAGACTCGAGATGCAAGATGTGGACAAAGTGCGCCATTACTGAAGAAGGAATTTGAGAGGCATTTGAGACCACTGGGACTATTCCGCGATTTAGATGACGATAGATCAGGAGGAGTTGGTATATACTTTATATCTCACGTTGGAGGACACAAATACAGTGCAAACGTCATGATCTACCGGAGATCGGACGCGTTTGGGTTGGACGGTGTTGAAAGAGCCAACGCGGATGGGGATATCATGCCATCGAAAGTGGTACCTGGAGAAGATGAGGATAAGGGTGCAGCTCAATGTATGTGGCTAGCAAGAGTGAAACCTGAAGATTGTGAGGGGATTGTGAAATTTACCATTTTGCAAGGCAAACTAATCAAGCCGGAAAGTCAATTAAGAGGTGGGTTCGATCGGCAAAAGGGACTCTTCAGTTGGTAGGATTCGGTGGACAAACCAAGTATCTTAGAGGAGAGGTTTCATTTTGTTTAGGTAAGGAAGCATTTATAAAAGATGTTTTGGGACATTTAGATGAGATATAAGTATTTAAGCATACACCTAATCATCATAGAGTTTAGATGATAGGAAAGCACCATCACCAGCAGTGAGAGGTTTTATTAATCCTTCCAACAAACGAAATCGAAAATTGAGTTTTCTTTCGACAAAGTTCCGAGGGACCCATTGATTTATTGAAATTATTGACCATTTTTCTCTTGAATTGATTGATTGTCAAATTCTTGGTACTGATTGAGTAAGGTAAGATAAATGCTAGGGATGGTATGATAGACAGTAATAAAAAGCAAGGATGATGATTGGGTGGGAAGAAGGAGAAGTAGGAGAAGAAGAAGAAGTAGGAGAAGAAGAAGAAGAAGAAGAAGAAGAAGAAATAGCTAGGGAGGGAGGGAGTGAGGGAGGGAGGGAGGCAAGTAATAATACTGTATGTAATATGACACTTTTCACGACTTCTTTTGATCATCGATGTAATTTGGTACTCGGTAGTAAACTTGGAAATTATTACCTTGGTAGCTTGGTATATTAGCAGATGTTTAAGGTAGGTAGGTAGGTAGGTAGGTAGGTAGTTGTAGTGGAAGATGTATTTGTAGTCGTAATTGTACTTATAGTTGTAATTGTACTTGTAATTGTAATAGTCATAATTGTAATAGGCGTAATTGTACTTATAGTCGTAATTGTACTTGTAATTGTAATAGTCGTAATTGTAATAGGCGTAATTGTACTTATAGTCGTAATACATACTTATAGTCGCGATTGTACTCATAGTCCACCTATATCTATCTACCTACCTACCTACCTACCTACCTACCTAGTTCCCCGTGGACCTGCTAATGATTTACTTTCCTTACCAATCTACCCACCCATCTAAGGTAAGCATGCATAATGCACATAAATATAAATAACATATAAATATATCCACCCAAGTAAGGTACATATACCATAAATACACCATAGATACGCATGAATACATATAAACACACATAAATATACCCAATTACACCCAATCACATCAAATTACACCAAAATATAGCACACCACATGAATACGCGACTTCCTTTTGCATGTTGCCCATAGCAACTAATTAAACTAATTCCCCCCAAAACAGGTCTAAACAAATCATTTAGAATGATTTGACGGATGGGGTTTGATCACAAGAGCCATCTAATCCAATCCATTCATTCATCCCAATTCCATTTCATTACATTAAATCCATTTATTTCATTTCAATCAAAAACCTCTCACACTTATTAAAACATTACCGCCGTACCTTTAACCTGTCTACCCTTTACTTATCTGGACTTCACTTCACGACAACGGGACTTTACTCTTATTATTGATTGAATTGCCATGACTTAGCTTTTGCTTGCAGTAAATCATAACATCCATACCAAAAGTTTCGTTTTCCATTGTCGCATACCGATGGTAGATATCTATAACACAATCCAGTTTAATTATACAACGACTCGAGTATAATAATATCTACTTGGTGCCTACCTACCAACCTACCTGCCTGCCTAGGTACTCTATAGCGAGCTTTTATCATGGCTACCAGTTTTCCTTACCCAGAATCAGTACATTCCAAACGCCCCAAGACAGCTTCGGTATTGAAAGCATTTATGCATAAGCGCACAACTTCTGACGGATCGACTCTTTCACCCGCGACTTCACCAAATGACGTTTTTGTAGCCTCTCCAGCCTTCGAAGATATGCCATCGCCGTCGGATTACACCCATCATCGCGCTCTCGCGGATATACAACGTAACCAGCAAACCTCTTCAATCATTTCACCTTACACAACCTCGCAACAAGAAGGCCTTCGACCTAAAACAGGTTATGCGGGTAAAGGATTGCATAAGAAGACAATGAGTGTCTTGTCACTCAAGTCATTGGCAGGCCCAGCAAAGGAGCCTACCAAGGGAACATCAATTCGGGACAAGCCTTCAACGAAACCCAAAAAGACTAAATCCTCGACAAGCCTTGTTGGGCTCCTCACTCGCCCAAGGTCCTCGAAGAACCTCAAGTTAGATGTAGAGCTGGCACAACGCGATTCAAAGGATAAGGAGAACCAGACTCCGGTGGTATCATCGCCTGTTCCAGAATCCGCGACTCGTCCTGCACGACCACCAATATATTCGCAATTCTCGAGTGACATGTTCACAAAACAACCTTTGGGAGGTAAATTCTTAGAGGATCAGATCGACCTTCATACACCCGAGAACCATTCGCCAACCAAACAACGAAGCTTTTACAATGGACAAAGCTCACAGCCGAGTCTTGCAGGCCGGGAAGGTGTATCGATACGGCCGCATTCCACATATTTACCCAGCAGTTTCAGTATCCAAGACATTCATAGAAACATTAGTGGGGAAAGTAAAAACAGATGCAGTGTTGACATTCCAAGGCGACAAGTCTCGACGGAAAAGAAACCGAGTTTGGATTATCGAACTTCAATGGATTTAAGACCAAGACCAAGCTTCCAACGATCAAGCACCGAAACATCAGTTGCATCAATCAAAACATCAAGTAGTACCCGAGGTTCTCGAGTCATGGCGGCAGTTTCCAACTTTACAGCAAAGGCAAGGGGGGATAGTGGAGTATATGTTCCAGTACAGACGCCGACCTCTGCGACATTTGGGCCCGACAGATCTCTCAATGATAGAGATATTGACACCGAATTCGAGGCTATGTTGGATAGGCGAAACATCCCAGAGCATCAACGTGGAAAGATGAGAAATCTCGCCAAATCCATGAAGAAAGATTTTATAAAACAAGATTGGGCCGAAACCGCTGCCGCGAGAAATGTTAGGCCAGTCAGTCATGGTAGTGACACAAGTGGTGAAAATGCAAAGGTCGAGGAAGCACCAGAGGTGAAGAAGAAGAAGAGACCAAGAAGTCGGACCTTTACACTCTCGAGATCTACTAGTAAGGAACGACCTGCCGAAAAAGATAAAAAGGCAGAAGGTGTTGTGGGAAACAGGAAGTCTGCAGAGTCTCTGAATGGTGGAAGTAAATCACTTACTTCTGCTGGCGCACAAGTAGCACAGAATTTAATTGCCAAGGCCAAGGGTCAGACACCGGATGATTTCGTCTCATACTTGAGGAAGGTCCGGAAACCAGAATCGGTGGAAGTAGGAAGGTTACATAAGCTCAGGCTATTATTACGAAACGAAACAGTAGCCTGGACTGACAATTTCGTTCGTCAAGGCGGAATGGAAGAGATAGTGGGACTACTACATAGAACTATGGAAGTTGAGTGGAGGTTTGTTACACTAATTCAATTGTTGAGGGTACAGTGGCTGACATACACACAGAGAGGAGCATGAAGATGCTTTACTGCATGAAGTTTTGCTTTGCTTGAAAGCACTATCAACCACGGCTTTAGCACTTCAACATCTTAACATTATTCAGAAGACTCTTTTCCCCGCACTTCTTCATATGCTTTTTGACGAGGAGAAAAAGGGACCAGCGGAGTTTACTACTCGAAACATTGTCACTTGGCTTTTATTCACTTACCTCAAATCCGCTACCCTTAGCGAACGCGCAACCAGAGCTCGATTCCTCCTCTCCTATCTCCGCGACCCTGAACCAAGTGAATCACAACGCCCTGTTGACTTCGTACTTGATATGCGACGACAGCGCCCTTATCGCGTTTGGTGTAAAGAAGTTAGTAATGTCACTAAAGAGGTTTTTTGGATCTTCCTCCACAATCTCAATGTCATTCCGCGCCCAGATTCCCGTCATTCTCCAGAACAACAAAATGATACCCCGCCTGATCTACCATATATGATCAAGCACTTTCCACAAGAGCTTCCTCCAGTTCCAGCCGCACCATATGTTGGAGGTGTCGAATGGGATGCAACAAATTACCTTGCTTCTCACCTCGACATTGTTAATGGCTGCATTGCATCTTTACCCACTCTCGAAGAACGTAATCAAGTTCGCGAAGAACTAAGAGTCTCTGGGTGGGAAAAGTGTATGGGCTCTACTTTGCGTCTATGTAAAGAGAAATTCTATGGTGGCGTACATGCGGGCTTAAGATGTTGGGTCGCGGCTGCAATTGAAGATGGTTGGGAGACGAAGGATGTGAGATGTGGTCCTAGTCCTGATAACAAAAGTCCAGTGCGAAAAAATATCACTCCAAAGAATGTGGCTGGCGCGGGTGTGGAAAACGCTCCTCCTAAGATTGATATGAAGTTGAGTTTCGCACAGAGCAGAGTTGACAATGGCGGAGATGCTTGGCTTTGATTGTGATAATGTACCAATATCACGTTTAGCTTGAGTTAACAGGATGCAGAAAGAGGGGAGGGAATGTAAGAAGTAAGACTCAGTGGTTCATATTTCTACGATACGAAGACAATAAGGAGAGCAAAGAAGAAGTAATTGCGGGGGATAGTGTTCACATTAGTCAGTCTATTTGATATGGTTGTATGGGCTTGGTTTAATCGGTCGGAAGGGGTTAGGATTTGTTGGATGAACAGGGTCGGTGTGACGGAGTAATTATTGATTGTCCTGGATATTTTGTGATTGAAGCATAAGGTTTTGTGGGAGGCATTTGTAAAGTGTGTGACGGGGAGGATATGAGAGGAGGGGAGGAGAAGCTGAGGAAAGAGATCAAGGAAGAAGAAAGAGGGAAGGAAGAGAAAAGAGAGAAGCAATACAGAAAGGAAGAAGACAGGGACGTGATTGATGATGACTTTATGATAAATGATTCAATGGTAGTTTGTTTTTCTTGCGTTTTGTGTATTTTTCTTTTTGTAAAGTCTTTTTCTGGCTTAGTTATCATACTTACTTACTACTGTTCTTCTACTCACTTTTCTGGATTACTTACTACTTGTTGATTGCTGCTGCTGCTGCGGCTATGTTTTATTTTCTTCTTGAATGATGATCATTTTGGCTATGGATGAGTAGGTGGGTAGGTAGGTATTCATGTGTGTATGATTGAGTAGGTATGGTACATATGTAGTTGTCTGTTTGTATGTGTAGATACTTGGTAGGGCTTTGGGGGGTGGTTTGTAGTGGTGGTGGTGATGCTGGTGATGATGGTGGTGATGGTGATGGGGTAGTAATAGGATAGGATTCGGATAGGATAGGATTAAGAATATTATTCATAATATGTATATGTATATATGTGTGTATGTATATCAATCTTATAATTCATTGATTATTTACTTCATCACTTTATTTATTCAGTCCATTATTCAAGTACTCAGTCTTTAATCTTGCATCTCACTAAACCCAAGAAACCTGGAGACCCCTCGACTTTTCAGATTGGGATTGGAGGTCGAGTTGGTAGGTAGGTAGACATGTTAGAAAAATAGGTAGATAGCTGGTAAGTGGATGGTAGATTGGTTGGTAGATAGATTGGTTGTGCTTGTACCTGGTAGTAGGCATGCTGATGGGATGGAAGGGAGTGGACGGGATGTGATGATGCAGCGAACATATAGATTATATCGTGACATTCGATGTTTGGAATACATGGGATATGGGATAGAATAAGACAGGATGAAGTTTTAAATAATTATACACATTTGCGTCAGTTCATTTCACTCAACATCAATTTCGCATGTACCATTTGCATTGGATGAATTTTATTTATTCATCTGAAGTCGCTCTGGGGTCTCATCCCTTCGCTAAATCACTCGATATTATCGTGTGTTTTAACGCTGCTCGACACAGCGGTGCGCTTTCATATCATATGAAAATAACGCTCGCATTCGTATTGTACAATATGCTCATTGAGCCTGCGCCGTATCTATTACAACTTCTCTAGGATTCCGCTCTCCATAATCCGAAAGAACCAGGGCAATTCTTCCACATCTTAATCGTACCATCTTCACTACCTGTAGCATACAATTTTCCGTCGGGAGAAAAGCTAATACTCCAGATCGGTCCATGATGACCTTTGTGAACATCTAAAATTGTTAGTAAGATTATGCTTGATTGGTGGAAAGGGAACATACCAAGTTCTTGATCAGAATCGAAATCATAGACCTTCGCCCATGTATCCTTAATTCCACCAGTGATATATTTCCTCTGAAGTGGATGAATAGCTACACTAGCAACCTCATAATTCAAGACAACCTTCTTGATAAGAGTGTTTGCAGCTGGTCCACCATAGAAATATAAAGTTTTTCCTGCAGCAATTGACAAAATAGGTAATCCTTCACCAATATCTCCTGGTCCAGATGCAATGTTGCTAAATTCGCATGAACCAATATCGCCATCAACTTTTTGTTCTTGGACAACAGATTGCGAGCGTAAATCCCACCATCTTATCACTTTATCATCTGCTGCCGTGACTATGATATTTGGGTCCCGAGTCCAAACAACAGCCTTGATTGTTCCTTTATGAACACCCGGTCCAATCTCGAAGCCATCATCTTGAGAAATGTTTGTAGTGTCGCTTCCATTGCCATTAGAACCTGCGCCATTTGCACCCGTAGAATTGAGTTTCGCGAGGTCAAAAATAAAAAGTTTCTTGTCAGTTCCTCCCGTCGCAAGAGTGGTACCAGAATCTGGAGGGAATGCGACAGCTCGAACGACATGTTGATGCTGGATAGTATAAAGGGTTTCTCCGGTATATGTATCCCAAACTTTTCTGTGCAATTATTAGTGATGATGGTCACCCAATGGAGCGAAGAACGTACGCAGTGAAATCTGCGGAAGCAGTCGCAGCATATTTAGCATCCGGAGAAAGTCTAGCTTGATAAACTGCGCCTTTGTGTCCAAAGAAAGTACCAATCCTAAGTTCATCAATTAATATCTTCCGGGAACAAAAGTTCGAGAGGTAACATACCAATCGCCGTTGATACCACTTCTTAACATAGGGTTGTTATCTGCCGAATTGAATTAGAGACAATTCCATATCCGAAACATTTCTCCGACATGCCATACCTTTACACGCTGATATCATGTAATACTCATCATCCTTTCCGTCCACAAATCCACAGAAGCTTATATGCGTGACAGGTCTTGAGTGACCATGGCATGTCAAAGGAACGTATTGTTTGGTGTTCTCTGGCCCCGCCATCGTTGTATGTTTGAATTGAAGTATGAAATGTTTGATTTTGTATCAAAACTTGAAAGCAGTATTGTAACTTATGATCTTTTTAAAGGGAAAGAAGTTCGATTCTTGCAGTCGCGGGTTGATGTATACTTTGCGGCGAAAGAGTGGGAGTGACCGCACTATGATGATGGTAGGCTGCTCTAATATATGTAGAAGAGAGAGTGTGTTATTCAAGAAGATTCGTTAAACGTCGTTAAATTCGTAAGATATTGATTAAGAGGTAGAATGGATGGATGAAGCTGTTGCCTTGAATGGAATTGAGATAGATGCTTGACAACTTCCTCAATGTGAAAAGGAAAGGGGAAAGAAGCAAAAAGAACTCCGTTCGGGGATATTGTGATTTTGTTTCATTGAGGTCAAGAATTAAGCTACCATTACCTTAATTACACTAATATCTTAGGCTCTATCTTGAAACAACACGGAGGCAGTTAATCCGACTCCGAATATCTATGACTAATCAGCATGAACAATCCGCTTCTTGGGGAAAGGGGGAGAGTGGGAAATGTGGTTATTGGATATTGATATGAGTACCGAGGTAGGTAAGTGAAGTTATTATACGTTCACCAGTAGTTATTGATATATAATTGATTGGTGTTGTTTATTGGTGACTGACCTGAGTAATGAATGAACTAATTACCACTGTGTAGGTAGTCTTACAGGGTTCAGATACGCCATTCCATACTTGTTCATGCGCCATACAGTGATAGTAGCTACCTCTACCAATGCTATTACCCGTGTGCTTACCTATATAGCCCATATATTGCTTAGGTACCTACTTATATAGAGGGGCAACTTTAAGGAAGCTTATGGTCAAACATGGAACTGTAACTATAATCAACTTCCATTATTCTCCAAAACATAACAACAACCTTTCATACTCTCTCATTCCCTCTCTCCCTCTCTTTCTAATTCTGTCAATTTCTGAAAAACTAAATACATAATTGCAATAAAGTCAACAAATATGGCAGAATACAAATTATCTGCATCTTTGGCTGGTCATGAAGACGATGTAAGTTGATGATACCATACTCCACTCTCCAACAAGGTCAACCTGGATGTTGGTGACGACAACATATACTAATAACATGTTGTTCAAACATAGGTTCGAGCTGTAGCTTTCCCATCTGCGAAAGCTGTAGTTTCGGCTTCTAGAGATGGAACAGTACGATTATGGAAACAACTCTCAGATCATCCACCAATATTCGATGCCACCATTTCCTCTCATGCAACAGCTTTCGTAAATACAGTCGCATATTTACCGCCGAGCTCTCAATTTCCAGACGGTTTAGTTATCTCAGGTGGAAAAGATACCGTTATTGAAGTTCGACAGCCTTCGAAAGGACCAGAAGAAAATGCGGAAGCGCTACTTATAGGACACAGTCATAACATATGTGCTTTGGATGTCGATCCAGCTGGGCGATTTATAATCAGTGGAAGTTGGGATGCGGAAGCAAGAATATGGCCATTAGGAAAATGGGAATGTGAATCGGTTCTCAAAGGACATGAGGGCAGCGTCTGGGCCGTTCTTGCTATAGATTCGGAAACTGTCATCACTGCTTGTGCGGATAAACTCATTAGAGTATTCAACACCAGTGGCAAATTACTGCGGACTATTCGAGGTAGTGCAGATGTTGTTCGAGCTCTTTGCAGGTTACCCAAAGGTCATCCATCCGGGGCAGATTTTGCGTCTGCAGGTAATGATGGCGTAATCAGATTATGGACTCTCTCTGGCAAGCAGGTGGCAGAATTACATGGGCATGAGAACTTCATTTATTCTATTGCCTCTACATCTTCCGGAGAAATTATCAGTTCTGGTGAAGATCGGACTTTGAGAATATGGAAAGACAGTCGGTGCATCCAAACAATTACACATCCTGCAATTTCGGTCTGGGGTGTAGCTGTGTGTGGAGAAAATGGAGATATTGTTTCGGGTGCAAGTGATAGAGTGGTGCGAGTCTTCACGAAAAATTCGGAGCGTTTCGCAGATGCAGAGACAACAACATTATTTGAAGACTCAGTCAAGGAATCATCTATACCTCAACAATCTTTGCCTGAAGTTAATAAGGAGAAGCTTCCTGGACCAGAATTCCTTACACAAAAGAGTGGCACTAAGGAAGGACAAGTCCAAATGATCCGTGAGTTAAATGGAGCTGTTACTGCACATACATGGTCCAGTGGTAAGTTACTTCTGATGCTAAATGTTGGGCATTGAGCTAATTATCATCTAGCACAAGGTCAGTGGATAAATGTAGGCACTGTTGTTGATGCTGTTGGAAGCAGTGGAAAGAAAGTCGAATACCTCGGAAAGGAGTATGATTTTGTCTTTGATGTTGATATTGAGGATGGCAAACCTCCCCTCAAACTTCCTTATAACTTATCTCAAAACCCATATGAAGCTGCTACGAAATTCATTGCAAATAATGAACTTCCAGTAACCTACTTGGAGCAAGTAGCCAATTTCATCACAACCAATACTCAAGGAGCTACGATTGGCCAAACTCAAGAAAGTTCTGGACCGGATGCATGGGGTAGCGATCAAAGATACCGACCAGGCGAGGGAGAGTCCTCAGCCCCTGCAAATATTCCACCACCACCCAAGGTCCTCCCACAAAAAGAGTATCTCTCGATTATCGTGGCTTCAGTACCAAAGATGCAAAAGAAGATTGAAGAAGTCAACAAAGCATTGATTAATGATGGTCAAAAGGGTGTGTCCCTCAATCCTGAAGAGCTCGAAGTTCTTCAAACCCTCCGAAAACATCTCGAATCTACCGGCGCCACAAATACTTCTCAATCTGTTAGTGGAGGTCTTGACTTAGCAATCAAGCTCTCAACTCATTGGCCCTACAAAGACCGACTCGCTGGACTCGATCTCCTCCGTCTCCTAGCCATTGCACCTGAAACCGCAACTTTCCGTACCAACGATGGCCAGTCCATTATCGATGTATTTTCACAAGCTGCTCTAGAATCTTCACCTCCTTCCGAAAATCACGTCATGATGGCCGTTCGTGGCTTTGCTAATCTTTTTGATTCCACCGAAGGTCGCCAATTAGCCACAGACAATTTTGATAAAGTCCATGACTTGATCAAGACAGCTATTCAAGCCTCTACAAATAGAAATTTATTGGTAGCTGCTACGACCGTCTATATTAACTATGCTGTTCTATTTACAGAAACAGACCCGGATTTCGAACAAGTTCTTGCTGTTTTGGATACAGTCACGAGTATCTTGAAGACACAAGTCGATAGTGAAGTGATTTATAGAGGATTAGTGGCCCTAGGTACGCTTTTGACTGTGGGAGATGAGATTAGAGAGGCTGGGAAGGATGTTTATGGCGTTTTGACCGCGGTGGATGGCTGTGTGAAGAAGGCGACTGATCCACGCGTGAAGAATGTTGGGAAGGAGATTAGAGAGTTACTTGCGTAGTGGATAGAGGGAGGTAGATTAGATGAGGGGAGGGAAGAATGGTGCAGGAACGAAAATAATGAATACATGAACGAAATGAAATAAAATTTAAAGCATAGCTGGGGGTCGATTTTTAGTTTCTTCTCTTTAAGCTAAATAGCTTCTGGCATGTCGATTACATACAGCGCTTGCGCTTAGATATTATAGTATGAATGCATAGTCTTTAACGCGGAGTTAAGGACATGAATTGTACTGTTATTGATAGTAATAATTGTATTGAGATGAGAATTGAAAATCGAAACTCGAAAAACTCGAGAATTAAAAGGAAATAATAATATCATTCCTTCTTCCTTCCTCCTGAATCATAATCTTCCCCATAAAACGCCTGAGTGATCACCTCATACATATAGTTCCGTATTGGGATACTTGAGTATCCTGCTTCAATCTCCGGTACCTATCCATTTCCGCTTTCTCGACTTGTTGGGTGCGGACGCTCACTTAATGTGTCTGTCTGCCCGTGGTATCATATTGTGTCGTATCCTATACTATCATATCCTATACTATCTACAGTCCTTCTTTTCTTTTCATAGGGTTTCATCTGATTATCTTTCCTTTTCCCTTCCCATATCTCCGATCTAAAATTCCCCAGGGATTTCAGATCTTCCTTTATCTCCCATCTCCCACCTCTCATCTCACAAGAAACCCCACATCGCAACACCCAGCACGCTCGCGAGACTCGCCGCCCAGAGCGAGCGGGAAGGAGAGGTGACTGTGGAGGCGGATGTGGATGTAGATTTGGAGGAGGTGCCAGGATCAGAGGCATCGTTGATGGTGTAGACGTTTGCGAAAGAGAGGTCGGAGGAGTTGAAACAGTTGGAGCTGTTTACTTCGGCGACGTCTTCGGGGAGCGCGAAGGTTATGTCTACGCACTGGGGTGGGGGTGTTAGGGTTATGTTTTGGGGGAGATTTGGATTTGTTTTTAGGGGTGATGAGAAGAGGGGAGAGTGATGATGGAGGCTATGAGGATGATATCATGAAATATGAGGTGGAAGGAAAAAGAAGGGAAAACCAAACATACAGAATACAAAGCAGCCCCATGAATCGCCAACTCCACAACCTGAATCGTCGCATTATCTCCCACGTTGACCGTCGTATTCGCGGGCAAGGGAATTTGTGGTAAACAGAAGGTTCCTGGGTAGGGATTTTTACTCGGGCCGACGATTTGCGTGACGGATGTCATGGGGAAAGACATGTTGGGGGGGCCGTTGTCGGGACCATCGGTACCGAATCCGAGATTAAAGTAGAAGAAGGCGGTAGCGTGGCCTTGAAACCAGCCGGGTTGAACGGCGATGGCGCCGCCGTAAATGGGCCAGAGAGTGCGGTTGGTGGTGGTGCGCATGCCGCCGCCTGGAGGGTGTTAGAGGTGAGCTTGATCGGGAGGGAGGATTGGGAGACAGGAGTTGAAGGAGAGAAGTTGGAGGAGATCGGAGGTAATACGGAGATGGATATGAATGTGCATAAGCATATATGAAAAGCTTGGAAAGCTTGAAAAACAAAGTGCCCATATCAAATCCAATTCTCCAAGGCAGCTCCTCGCACCCCAAACTCAAATCCAAAGATTCCAGTTCATGAAGTAAAAGTCTACTCACAAGGATACATCCACTGCATTCCATAAGGAAACGTCTCATTCGTAATCAAATTATCACCTCTCCATCCCGGATATGTAATGACCGTATGCGCCTGCACCAAAACACTCGTCGTGATGGCCAAAAGCGTTAATATACTCGTCGTAAACATTGTGATAATGTCGGTCTTTTAAAGAGAAAGGGTGTGTGTAAAACCGGCTCGAATGATAAAATTGAAAGATGTTGGGAAGAAATTGAATGGGTTCGTTGTATATATGTTTGCCGGATATGATATTGTGGTCGATATTTAAGCTTGGGAGGGAGATATGCAGGTAGGTAGGTAGGTAGGTAGGTAGGTATTCAATTCAAGTATCAAACATCAAAGTCTCTCTTTCCTTTGGTCTTTATGGATGCAATTCAGATAATTATCAGAACATCACTAGATGGATGAGATAATTACGTTCCAAGGAATTCAAGAAATAGAAATCGTACGTCGAAAGATTCAAAAAGTGTTAATATGAGGCAGAGCAAAAAAAATAATCATCATCCGGATGGACCGCACTTTGGACCCTCGATGAGTATTTGAATAATCACCATCCGCATTGTCTAATTCGCGCTGACCATGCTTGACGAGCAGATTCGATGCTAGGTGCATATGCCGAATTACCATGGGCGTTTAATGTGCATGACCAATGAGATGTGCGAAGGAGGTGAGCGCAGAGGGAGAAGATGCATGGGAGACATGGGAGACATGGGAGAGAACAAGAGTTATACTTTGTTCGGGATAGTGAGGATGGAAGTCTTCAATATTGGGAGTGACGGGTGATATTGATTTGTCGATGGGAGATATGCAGATGTGGGAAGAAGGCAAAGGTGTGGTGTGGTGCATTGGCCATTGATTGGATGTGGGGTGATGAGATGGATGGGGCGAAATGGATTGTGTGAGTGAAAAACAGGGGATTCCGGCTAATAGATGATTTGATGTAAGCGCCCGGATAGAATTGAGGGTTTGGGGAATGCAGATTGGTTGGATGGTTTGTGGAACTGCCGATGATCATTGATTTTGAGAGAGGGTCTCGAGAGGGTATAGAATGAGGAGCTGTTTGTATGGATGATTTAGATGTCGAATAGGAATGCTTCATTGGAAAGGAAAATGGATCTGGATTCTGGACTCTAGACTCCGGAAGGAATATCGTGCATATGGGAAGCAGGTACAAGACATGCTCGAGAGAGGTTTGCTGGTACATAGGATTTGACAGGTATCGAAAGAGACAACAGGAGATGATGGAATAATCGAATAACCAAATAATCGAGAATATACAATTGAACGACATGCACTCACTTACTCACTGCACTGTATTCAATTGCTTGTCTGCTAACCAGGTACTTGAAAACACCTCATCACCCATCCCTTACTGTCCCGGAGCCCCCAGACCAAAAAAAACAGATCACACACTACTCTTGTTATCACAGTTACATCAAACGCATCGAACCTACAGTAACACAACAAATGGTAACTGACAGGGAGAACCGATCCGAATATAGAAATCGATGGTACGCAGGCAGTATAATAAATATGATGAACAATTCATTTGGAACCAATTATGAATCTCTCACAAAGACAATCATGATTAAACTTTCGTCTCTGTTTTGGCTCTTGCATTGCAATACTTTCTCTTTCTCTCTTCCTCTCTTCCTCTTTTTCTCTTTCTCCTTCATCTCCAAAATTTCAATGCACTTGCACTTCCACAGCCAAGATAAAGCTGCATCACCATCTCTTATTCATGGAATCTGGTGTTGATCTACCGAGTCTACATCCCCTCGATTCCAAGATTTCAAGATAGATACAGAATGCGTATACCAATTCTGCAAGGGTCAAACATCTATTCCATCCACATCTTGCAAATCAGCATGTTGTATCCCCTTTCGTTGCGTGGAGCTCCGGTAAGGTGTTACATATTCGTGAGATGTAAACGTCGTGATCCCTTACCACGATTATGTCAAAATCCGGACTTACCCCATAGAATATCATAGCGATAGACGTTTTTATGTCTTATGGTATCACATCGGTAAGAGGAAGCGCTGGGAGAAGCTGAGGTTGGGGAATATATACCTGGGCAGTTTCTAGTATCTAGTACGTACGTGTGTGATTGATAGTCTGATTCATGGTATGTCTATCACTGGATCATTGGAATGGAATGGAATGACGAATTTCATCCTCGGCTTCTCATGTTAATTAGCTACCGTACCTAGCACCTACTTGATAGACCCCAAGAGCAAACTCAATCAAATATGAACGGACCCCAACAGATACGAAAAATCAATGGGGGTAGCAGCTTGATTGAGCTTGTCTCGTCTGTGATATCGCTTTCAAAAAAGGCGGTGCAATTCATTAATCTATTCTGCCATAATTTTGATGATAATCTGCCCCTCCATTTGATAGACTCATATCATATCGTAGATAATCTCATTATCTAAAAATAAACCCTGCAACACATTTTTCCCCTCCAAAATTATCCATCTTCAACATTCCCCTCCCCAAAATTCCACATTCCATTGTTATGTTGTGAAAGCTGAAGACGTACGCATACTCTCCGCGGTCATCCCGTCCAGATTTCCAATTTGTAAACACACAGCCCAACCAGCGATTTTAGAACCAAAAGTATTTCTTCCCGTGGCTGACTGTATTGTACCACGAGTCTACACACAACCCCAGGCGATTGCGTTTTTTCAAACCTCCACGTTTGCGCAGTGGGTTACACTAGGTCATACCCGACGGGCTGAAGCTTACCTACCTGATCGCTTGATACGGGGTTCCTGCGAGATTGCTTACGTTGGATTTTGAGGTTCTGGGTTGCGAGAGAAACGGGTAGCAGAGGATAGGAACGGAGACAAACCAGCAATGCCGCATACGAATCGCAAAAAGAAGAGTGGAGCTAGGGACACCGGAGAAGAGACGGAGAAGACGAAAAAGATTGCGCAGTCGACTAAGAGGAAACAGATAGAGGATGGAGAGGGCTGGACACATGTTGTGGGCGGGGGGAAAAAGACGGGGGCTGCAGAGACCTGGACGCATGCGGGAGATTTTGTGAAAGATGGGGTCGCGTATATTCAGCGCTCGATGGAGGAGATGCAAGCGGATTTGGACAATTATAGGAAGCAGTGGGAGAGCAGTGAGGCAGCTGGTCAGTTGAAGAAGATTTTACATGGGAGGAATAAGGTGAATAGTGTAGTTTGTTTGGGGTTGGGAAGTTTGCAGAGTGCGAGGAGGGAGGGGAGGAGGAGTAGTTATACTCAATTGGCCGCTTTGATGATGATTATCGAGGAGTTTGGTGAGTTGTGTTGGGAGTCGCTGGTGGGAGATCCTAGGACTAATTACATTTTAGGTGGTATGGGTGAGGATAAGATACAATGCATATTTCAAGACCCTCAAAATACTGAGGGCGACAAGGAGTTCTTCACATCTTTGGGTGGAAAAGTAGTGGACGATCCTTTGGCATTTGATTATATCAAAGAGGATACTCTTGTATATGCGATACATTGCTATGGACCAGTTTATAAAACTATTAGTCAAGGATCTCGACCTGCAGTTCTCATAGGAACAGATGTGGACAACTTTTCAAATTTGTGGTTGTAAGTTATATGGCATATCTTTATTGGCAGATGTTGACAATTCGCAGATCAAAAACCGAAACTCTCGAACAGCATCTAGATGATATGATCAAAGATTGCGAGATCATAAATTTTCCACAACTTCGACATGATTTCTCGGATACAAAAATATACTGGCGGAATAAACCAACTGTTTGAAAGGGGTATAACCAAAGTCGAACATTCACGAGCAACGTATTTCAAATATGCCAGAAGATTCAGAGCATACCATCAATTCAGATTAAACAATAATACCTATCTCAATTGATGTCACTAGACTTGACCACCGTACCAAAAGCATCCGCCAACTCCGCCAAAACCGTCTTGACCAACTCCTCCGCCTTCACTCCTGGAATATCTCGATCGCCAATCGCATCCTCCACAAACAAAACCTCATAACCCTTCTCAGCCGCCTGTCTCGCCGTCGTACTCACACACACATGCGCCATATATCCCGTCAACACCAGCTTCGATTTTCCCGTCTCTTTAATATACGCTTCCAAATCTGTTCCGGTAAAGGAACCAGGATGTTGTTTCCCAATCACTTTCTCATCATTCTTGGGCGTTAGCTCTTCGAATTCCTGGGCAAGCTCAGTGTCGGGTGTGAAGACGGGGGCCCCCGCAGGCACTTGGTGCACAATGTGTGCGAGGGAGCCGTGGGCGGCGCGGTATTTTTCTAGGAGCGAGGAGATGGCTTTGCGTGAGGAGGATACTTGGGAGACTTTGAGATGGCCTTGGGCGTATCTGTGGGTGGAGTGGTGAGTAGATTTTATGGGTGGGGGGAGGATGGATGGATATTTCAAAGAACATGAAAGAGGAGAATTGCAATAGAGATAGATGAAATTGAAATTGAAATCAATTGAAATACGTACTCATTCTGCGCATCAATAATAATTAATACACTATCCTGCACCGAAGCAGTAGATGGCGGTACACCAATTAGTTCGCGGAATGCTTTGGCTTGGGTTGTCATGATGGAGGTGTTTGTGAGGTGTTTGTGAGGTTTGTGTGTGTGTGTGTGTGTGTGTGTGTGTAAGAATGGAGGGATAGATGGAGGGATAGATGGATTAGATAGGTAGATGGAATTCCGAGGTAGATACTGCTAGGTAGATGGACAGAGTAGAATTCTTTGGATGCGGGGAGGAGGAGTTCGATTTGAATTGATTTGAGTTGATTTTGTGGGGTGCAGTGCAGTGGAGTGGATGAATGGGGGGTTATGTTATGTTATGTTATGTTATATCATGTTATGTTATGTCATTTATGTTAAGCTTGCTATAGAGGGAAATGGAGGGGAATGGAGGGGGATGGAGGGGGGATAAATTGTTTCGATTGGTGTGTTCGTATTGGGATTTGAATTGGATGGATTGGTAAGATTGAGAGGTAATTTGATTAATCACCAATATCTAGGTACAGATTGCATCATTTTGTATTATATTATAACGTGTTTTATCACCGAGTGGATTATATCACTGAATGGATCACTCAATTTACATACAAAATTCGTCTGTGTGTAACCGTGCA